TTCTTGACCTTATTTAAACACTCCGAAGAACGAAATGGTGATTAGAAACCCATTGAAAAATGATGTGAATTATTAAAAGAAAAGTGTACAAAATTGAATAAATTATTTATCGAATGTGTGTATGAAATGTTATGTAGGTCGTGTGCCGGAGAAAATGCCACAAGATTAAATGCACTGAGAGTAATAGTATTGTAAAGATACGTTCTTAATTAATTATTTTGATCCATGAATTGTGATTTGTTCCAAAATGGTGTTTTGATCTGAATGAGTGAGTTTCATGAATGTTATATAACATATGCAATGTGGATCTAAGGTCGTTCCGTTATCCTATGATATGTTTGGGCCTAAGACCATTCTAAACTATGTAGATGATAACTTATGATTAGACCTGAGGTCATTTTGAACAGTTGTTAATATGTGGGTCCAAGTCTGTTCTATACTATATGCGGGCCTGAGGCCATTCTCTAATATTGATAGACCCGAGATTGTTCTGTAAATATGATCACGAAAACATTACTAATTTACGATGTTATGTTTACTTTGATAATGGGCTCATTCATTTGCACCTCTTTACTATATTATTACTCATTGAGCTTCCCTCACTTTATGTTATGTATGTATATGTTGGTGATCAGCAACATGGAGCCTAACCTTAGAGTTTGCTTCAGGAATTATTTTTGTGAACCCGATTGGTCGAGTATCCAAGATGGAGCTTTTGTCTTTGACTCATATCATGTTATGACTTTTGCTCTGATTTTGGCTATAATGGTTTTTGAGATATGTAACTCAAGTATGAGTATATTGCATGGATATGTAATGTGTAACTATGCTATAATGTAACCAATGTATATTTCGATCATATTGGCACAACTCAATGGACTTTCATCATTGTTATATGCTTCTGCTTGTGTGCCCCATTATTATAATTATTCTATATTTTTGTATGAGGCTGTAGGTAATCAAGCAATTACTGGCTGGTTATGATCTAAACCTCTAGGGACGGGTTTGGGTCGTGACAACTAAATAATAAAATGGTATAATTAGAAGTGCATATTGTAACAACCCCGACCTGTGATTAACTGATTAACCATGATTAATTATGCCTAATAAGTAATCAAGAAGAAATCCTGAGTTAAGTGCATGTGTTATGTGCTATATGAGTTTCCATCTGTCTATCGCAGGAATATCTGTTTCTGTTTTGTGCTGTGACTTGAAGGCCTTATCGGCATCCAATCGCAAAATTGACTTGAATTACTTGTTAGTTGGAATTTTTAGAATATTATGGTAGGTTTAATTAAAATTCAATTCGGAATGATTAAATTAGAATAATTTAATGTCTAATTAAGTAGTTGATCAACAACTTAATTAAACCATTAGCCAAGCCTATATAAGGCTCCCATATGTGTCATCACTCATTTTTTTCTTCATCTCAACACATTTTTTAGCTCACACACACAAACCAAACGAGAGAGAGAGAGAGAGAGAGAGAGAGAGAAAGAGAAGAGAAGTTTGAGCTCAATTGAAAAAGATTGCTAGAGAACTCAGAGAATTTGGCTTGGAACTTTCAACAATTGATCATCTAGAGCATCATTGGCACGCCTAGGTAAGAATTCAACCTTTAAATTGTACAATTATGATGTGTAAGACATAAACTCTAGAGAATTATGATGGATAATGTAAGAATTAAGCTAGAAATGAAGAGAATTAAGCCATGTCATACATGCATGCATATATCATAGCATTTTGAGTTTGAATTTCACTTAAGTCATGCATGCATGTGTCCTCCTTGACTTGGTTTTGAGAATTCATCACATTACTTACCATTTGACCTTAATTGATTATGTTTTGGAAAGCTTAAGTTCAAAGTAATTTATGCATGTCATGTTCATGGCATATTCATAAATTTCAAGTTGGAATTTTAGTCAATTAGCATGCTTTTGGGCCTTGATTTAGTGAAATGATCTTCAAATCATGGTAGTTTACAAGTTTCTAAATGTTTTCTAGAAATTTGGCCCAAAAAGATGAGTTTTGAAAGGTGTTATTTGAGTTTGAAGCTTGGGAGTACAATCTGGAAATTCCAGATTCCGCACTTCTGCTTGAGTGGCAGAATCTGCGCTCGAGCGACCACTCTATGATCTTACACTTCCGCTTGAGCGTGAAATGCGAGCTCCTAGAAGTTTCATGTTTTTGCTGATCACTCGAGCGTAGGAAGTTGTGCTCGAGCGGGTACCTGAGTCTCATGCTCGAGCGTCCGTCGAGCGTGAAAATCACACAACCAGTACTTTTTTAGAGTTTACAGACCGCTCGAGTGAGGGAATCTGCGCTCGAGCGGCCCCTCACATGTTTGCATGTCCGCTAGAGCGAGGGAAGTTGCGCTCGAGCGGGACCCCTGTTTTTGGCAAGTTTTGTCAAGGGTTCCAAAATGCATTTTGGCATCCACATTGCATCCTAGACATTTCTAGGTCATGATTAAGACTCAATCAGAGGTTAAGACCTAGAAACACACTAAGAATGAAACGAAAGAAGTTAAGTACTAACCGCGTGTGTGTTTCATTTTGTGTTTCTACTATATGTTTGTAGGTCACGCGCCACAAGTTATCTAATTTATCTGTTCTGCAAGTGGAGCTATTTGTGAATAATAACTTTGTAAAGTTTTGTTTACATCTAAGTAATTTCTCATATGATATAATATAACAAGAAGTGCTTTGTTTTATGAAATGTTATATTCTGTCCAATGAATGATTGTTCAATTTCTGACAAGTGTTTGTGGCATCCTTAGCATAAGGCCCTTGCCCGGGGGTAACAATACCATGGTTTATAAGCAAGGCCCTTGCTTGGGGGTAATAATAATGTGGTCTCATGGCCCTTGCCTGGGGGTAGGGCTATGCAAAATACCGCCCAATCTGCTAAAACTGCACCGATCCGCATCTATCCGCACCGCTCTAACCACTAACCGCGGTTTAAACTTTAAAATTTATAATCCGCCAACCGAATCGCTCCGCTCCGCTATAGTTAATACATATATATTTTTTAATCTCCAATGAAATATCAATGTAAAAATGAGTTTGAGAGAGATTTAAGATATGAAATTTATTACAAATTAGTGGTTATATATATGAAACATATTATGTAAAATTAATTTGTGTTATATATCTAAAAAATATTATACAAATTAGTGTTATATATTATGCAAATGTATGATAATTAGTTAGAATATTCCTCAATCCGCCAATCCGTCAAAAACCATCCAAACCGCAATTTGTCAATCCGCTAATCCGTCAACCCGCCATTCGGTTTGTAAATTTACTCTCAAACTGCCCAAACCGCACCGCGCACACCCCTACCTTGGGGTAACAATACCGTGGCTCAAGTATGTTACAAGTTCCATGTACCTGAGGTTCCTTATGGAACTAACAAGCATGATAATGCTAATGGATGTTCCATGTATGATTAAGCATGAACTCTGTTTTCTACACGAAGTTTGAACAAGAATATGAATATATGTCTGTTTTGATATGAATTCTAGTTTCTGAATCTGTTGTGGACATCATTCATTTAAACCCTTTACTCTGTTATTATTTACTAGGCTTCCGCTCACTATTTATATTATGTATGTAGGTGAGCAGACGCGTGACCATGCCTAAGCTGTTGCATGGAGTTTTGGAGTCAGCCAGCCATCGTGCCTCCCGTGAAGGTTCCCTTTTGAGATCTGTTCAAGTTTTTGTGTCTTTGGGACATTTGTACCTTCTGATGTTTATGTTTGTCTGAACATGTTTTGGAAGTTCGGTATATGTGGCTTTGGTGACGTAAGACTAATGTATTTATGACGTCACACACATATATATATATATAAGTTTGTTTTAAAGATTTTTGTCTCATGTACGTTAACACAGCTCTATGGACAACGTATATTTCTATATTTGCTTCTGCAGTCCCTTATTATATATCATTCTGTTAAGAGGCCTCTGGTAATCCAAGGATTACTGGTCGGTTACGACGTTAAACCTATAGGGGTGAGTTTGGGTTGTGACACATATAGACACCTTTTAAAAGGGTATGTATATCAGAATTCTCCAAGACATAATTCCTAATCCAAAAATTGAAACCTCTACAGTGATAATTTGCCTAATCCATTTTATTAGACACAATGGGATAATTATACCTTTATGTAGCAATTTCGTTTAGTCCATACACTTCATGAATACCTTCTCAGTGTGCACATTAAAAAAAATAAAAGAATTTCAGTACACATCTCTTTATTCCAATAATATTATCATCTTCAATTCCAAAACCGTAATTTTTCTTCAATCCAATCATCCTCCTTCATTGCCATTGTCGTCACTCTCAACCCTTCATCACCACTACCACCACCACTCCGAGCTTATCCCCTTCCATCTTAGACTTCCACAATCAACTTTAAAAGTGGGTGGTTCGTGGTGAAAAGGTTTGTGAGAGTGTATGATTTATGATGGAAGGTGGTCGCAGGCGAAAGTAGAAAGAGACGACGAGATGGACGACGAAAAAAAGATGTGGTGCTAGTGTTGGAGAATGGTTGTGGTGTTTTAGGATTAGAATTTAAGTATACAATCCGGCACGTCCTACGTGAAGGAAACGTTTGTGCAGATGCCATGCCTAAATTTGGTGCAAAACAACCGGTAGACCTCCAACCAGAAATTTGGAGTCTTTTGGTGACTGATATGCTAGGTCTCTCTAGAGAAAGGGTGTAGCCCTTTGTCAATAAATAAATAAATAAAAAATAAAATAAAATTTGAGTGACTCATCAATCCACCGACAATGATTTGGTAATGGAATTGGGTCCTACACATTAGATGTATAATAAATCAAAAATTAATATATATGATACCACATCATTATAAATATAATTATGAAGGAAAAAAAATTTGTAAGTCTTAAATATTTTCCTATTGTATTTTTATTTTATGACAAATTTTTTTTTTTAAAATTTCCATTGAGTGTATAAGCGAGAGAAATTACAACGAATAACCCAAGAGAGAGAGTCAGTCGCAAGAGTTAGAACAGGGTCACAACTCATCCCCAAGGTTGCCATCGTTTCTCTGCTAAGGCAAAACTCGCCATAGTCTCTCTCTCTCTCTCTCTCTCTCTCTCTCTCTCTCTCATGATCCAGAAACTGATACATAACAGCAAAAACTGACAATGAGGGCCTTGTTTTCACAAAAGTTCATCAAATATACAGATCGATATCTGATTTCAAAAACGAGACTTGTTTCCCTCAAATCCAATCACTTCTTCCACAGTTCCCAAATCTCCAAAGAAAATGAGGACACAGTTCGAGAAATCACTTCAATCCTCACCCACAACAACTGGCAATTTCTTTTGGAATCATCCTATCTTCCCCAGAAGCTCAACCCAGATGTGATTCGATCAGTTCTTCACCAAAACATGGCGGGTGACCCCAAACGCCTCCTCGGATTCTTCAACTGGTCTTCTCATCAAATGGGTACCCCTCAAAACTTGAATTCTTTCTCAATTCTTGCTATTGTGCTCTGTAATTCCAATCAATTCGCATATGCAAACTGGGTTTTAGAGCGAATGATCGAAATTTGTTGCCCTGTTTCGGCGGTTTTGGATTCAATTGTTAGTTGTTGTAGAGAGTTTAACAGCTCTCAATCTATTCATGTGGTTTTTGATATTTTGATCAATGCTTATAAGAAGAAGGGTATGTTGCATGAAGCTGCTTCATTGTTCTTAGCTGCCAAAAATTGTGAATTTTTGCCTAGTTTAGTGTGTTGTAATTCTCTGTTGAAGGACCTATTGAAGTGCAATAGAATGGAGCTTTTTTGGAGTGTTTATTATGCAATGTTAGAGGCTAAGATTAATCCTGATGTATATACTCTTACCAGTTTGATTAGTGCTCATTGTAAGGTTGGGAATGTTAGGGAGGGCCAAAGGGTCCTTTTGGAAATGGAAGAGAAGGGTTGTAGTCCTAATTTGGTTACATACAATGTGACTATTGGAGGGCTTTGCAAGGCTGGACTTGTTGATGAAGCGTTAGAGCTAAAGAAGTCGATGACTGAGAAGGGATTGGCCCCTGATGGTTATACTTACTCCATACTAATTGACGGTTTTTGCAAACAGAAGAGATCAAGAGAGGCAAAATTTATACTAGGAGAAATGTCCAATGTTGGTCTGAATTCTGACCACGTTGTCTATACTGCTTTGATTGACGGGTTCATGAAAGAAGGAGATGTGGAAGAGGCTTTTAGAATCAAGGACGAGATAGTTGCTCGTGGGAAAAAGTTAAATGTTATAACTTGCAATGTAATCATTAATGGGCTATGTAAGGTTGGTCAGACGGAGAAGGCCAAAGATCTTTTGGGTGAGATGATTGCAATGGGCATAAAACCTGATACTCAAACTTATACATCTTTAATCGAGGGATATAGTCGAGAAAATAACATGGTTAAGGCTTATGGATTGCTGGTTGAGATGAAGGAGAGAAACTTGCAGCCTACAGTGTACAGTTGCAGTGCAATAATTAATGGGCTATGCCGTTCTGGAGATCTTCAGCAGGCTAATTTTGTTTTGGAGAAGATGACCGAGGGAGGTTTGAAACCGAATGTTGTTATCTACACAACTCTTATAAAGGGTCATGTGCAAGGAGGTAAAATTGAAGAGGCAATAGAGATTTTTACTAGGATGAAGGAGAAAGGGATTCTTCCTGATGTTTTCTGCTACAATTCTCTCATAATTGGCCTCTGTAGAGCAAAAAGGATGGAAGAAGCAAGGACTTACATGATCGAAATGGTGGAAAGGAGATTAAAACCAGATGTGTATACTTATGGGGCTTTCATTTCTGGATATAGTATGGTGGGGGAAATGTTAGTCGCAGATGCGTATTTCAGAGAGATGATTGGCTATAGTATCGCTCCAAATGGTGTTGTTTATACAGCTTTGATTGATGGGTATTGCAAAGTGGGGGATACAGAAGGAGCCTTATTGATATTCAGATCAATGCTTGGACAAGGAGTGCTTGCAGATGTGCAAACATACAGTGTGCTTATCAATGGCCTCTTGAGGAATGGAAAATTGCAGGAGGCTATGCATGTTTTTGCGGAACTCTGTGAAAAGGGTCTGATTGCTGATGTTTACACCTACAGCTCTCTCATTTCCGGTTTCTGTAAGCAAGGGGACATAATAGAGGCTTTCAAACTTCACGATGAGATGTGTCAAAAAGGTATTAATCCAAATATTTTTACTTATAATGCATTGATCAATGGACTTTGCAAGTCGGGTGATATGGAAAGAGCTAAGGAACTGTTTGATGGTATCTCCGAAAAGGGTTTGGCACTCAATGGTGTGACTTATGCTACAATAATAGATGGATACTGCAAATCCGGAAATGTAGCAGAGGCATTTCGGTTACTTGATGAGATGCCATTAAAGGGGATTCCACCAGATTCTTTTGTTTACAATGCCCTTGTCAGCGGGTGCTGCAAAGAAGGTAATACAGAGAAGGCCTTTTCATTATATCAAGAAATGATGCAAAAAGGGTTTGCTTCGACGATTACTTTCAACACTTTGATTGATGGGTTTTGCAAGTCTGGGAAATTGAATGAAGCAAACCAGTTGGTGAATGAAATGGTCGATAAGCAAGTCATCCCCGATCATGTCACCTTTACTATTTTAATCGATTATCTCTGCAAGGAAGGGATGATGGAAGCTGCAGAAGAGCTTTTCTTAGAGATGCAAAAGAGGAATCTGATGCCCACTATTGTAACGTATACTTCGCTTTTACATGGTTACAGCAGAATAGGAGACAGATCGAAGATGTTTTCACTTTTTGAGGAGTTGGTGGCAAAGGGTATTGAGCCTGACGAAGTAGCCTACAACATGATAGTCGATGCTTACTATGAAGAAGGTAATACGGAGAAAGCATTTAAGCTTTGGAATGAACTATTGGACAAGGGTGTGATGCAAAAGGGAGATTTCTCCAATGCATTGGCGTTACTTGAAAAAATGGGAAGTCAAGGCTTTACGCCAAGTCTTGCTATGTGCAGCAATGTAGTCCGAGGGTTGAATGAAGCAGGTTGCGAGGACAAGGCAACTAGGGTTTTGGAAAGTATGGTGAGATTTAAATGGATTTCAGATTCCACAAGTTTAAGTGACTTTTCGAATGAATATCAGAAAGATGCAATCTCTCAAGGCAATCAGCATTAAAAGAAAATGAGTGTTTGCTGCTCTTTCATGTTCTTGGGTATCTGTAGGTTCACGAAATCAATTACTGATGCTGATCTGAACAATTTGCTAGAGCGAAAAAATTGGGTTTATCAAGTAAATGTGGCAGCCACGGTCTAGGCTTCGCATAGCCGCATTTTTCAATTTAAATTTGTGAATGCTTCCAACTTCAGTGGCAGGTCAATCAAAAGCAAGGTAACTAAAACTTATTCTGCGTTTTCGTTATCATACCATTTTCATGTTGCTTATTGTAGCATTTGAGATGACTATGTTTTGTTCATATTACAACGATCAATGGAATCTGCATTCCTTTAGTAGCTGTAAATATTTTAACGGTGTTATACATACAAAAACCTTTGTAATCCCAAGATGTCATGATTCTCCTAAGTAATCTCATACAAAAAGTACATAACAGTAGACAACGTACCTGAATTCATATGAAAAACTTTGAATGATCCAAACATTGATTGAACACAACCTTACTGTTGGTGGAAAAAGATTAATGGAAGACTAACATTTGAGATGACTATTTATCAACCAAAAAAAAAAGAAGAGCTTTTGAGATGACTATGTTTTGCTCATATTCCAAAGATTAATGGAATCTCCATTACTGTAGTAGCTTCACTATTTAGGATGAAATTGCTTTAAAATACATTGCATGGCACATTAGAATTATTCCATTTTCATTGGATATGTCCTTAGATGTTTACTAGATAAGTAATCTTTATGGCCTAGAACTGATGCCAATTCGTCTGACAGCTTGCTGAGCTTGAAAAGAGGTAAGGTAACAGGTAATCACAAGGGTTATACCTGAGCCTTACTACATTGTTTGTATTGAAAGTAACTCCTCTTACCCGTATATCTTTTTCCTTTTGATGTAGTCGACATTTTTTGGATGTAATTTGTCTGACAGTTCTGTTATATGAAAATTATTTTCTTTATATGAAAGATGAAACCCTATTTGAAGTTTTCCTTTCATGTGGAGACCATTCATGTCCTCACTCCTCAACTTCACGTGCAGTTTAGTCTCTCTATCTATTATTGTTGCTCCGAAGACCTATGGTTTATGATTCTTATGTAGTTTATTTACTACTGCTACTAGTTTTATTTTCCTTTCTTTGTTTGTTTTTTTCTTTTCTTTTCTTTTCTTTTCTTTCTTCTTATTTATTTTCATTTATTGTTATTGTTTTAAAAAACTTTTTTGAGGTTGATGCTCAAACTTTCAAACCAATGCATTTGCCAACTAAGGTTTAAAAGGGGATCCCATCCCACTTTTTTTTTATTTTTAGAGATTGGAGGGCGGTGTGTGATTTGTAACTTGTGATATCAATAAGTTTATGCTCCCTTCTTTTCTTTGTTTATTTTGGCGGACTTCTTGTTTACCAGTCTTTTGTACTTTTTTTATCATTATTTTTCCTTATTATTAAGAATATTCCTTTTATTGTCAATAAAAAGAAGAAGTTATGTTTATAGTTAGTAGGGAATTGGCCGCGTACAATCCTTTTATTGGCAGTTTTAAGTAGCATGAAATTGCTAGCACAAAGTTAGAAAGTCTTCAAACCGGAAGTAAATTCATCTCTCCCTCAAATAGTTCCTAAAAATTTGCAAAAAAAAAAATTAATTTGAAACTATATTTTGAATTTGAATTGAATATCTTGTTCCATAAAATTTTAGAGGTGTGTTTGGTTCTGTGAATATTGATTTGCTCCTTTCAAAATATTAATTTTTGACTAGTGACAATGAAAGGATTAATTATTCAGTAATGTCGGATTATAGACACATGCTATTCTACAGTATTGTGATTGATGGAGAAAGTAAGTAGGTAGAGTATTATGTTGTGTGATTGAGTGACATGAGGGAACATAATAAATAATGATGGTATTCCAAGAATATTTTATAATTTCCCATAAGGAATTGACCATCATAAATTGTCATTACGCTAATATATTTTGAAAAATGTATAATGAAAAACAAAAGTCATCATAAAACATTTTTTTGACCAACAAAAAACAAGTTTATTTAAATGAAAAATAATTTTCAAAATGTTTTTCTACTACATGTTTGAATCGCAATGTTTTAAAAACTGGATCGGTGAGCAAACTGAAAAATAGATCGGGTGGACAGGTTATTGATTTAATCGTTGGATTAAATTGGAATTGAATCGTGACGTCACAGGTTATCGATTTAATCGTCAGATTAAACTGGAATTGAATCGTGACGTCATAAATACATTAAAATTATATTTCAATAAAAATATAAGTAATAAATTATAAATTAAAAAGACTAAAATATTAAATTATCTTAAATATTTCTCTTAATATTTATTTTCTTACTAAAAAATATAATAAGATTTTAAAATACTATTAATTTTAATTTTGAAAGAGGAAACCAAATATTCAATATTTCCTCCATATTATTTTAATTCAAATAATTTGATTGTAATAAGAGCAAAAATTTTGGAGGGATATCAAAATTTTAAATTTTAAATCTCCCTTCAATAAATTTGATTGAATTTTTTGAATTTTTTTGGAAGAGCTCTGGTATGGAGTAACGTGTGTGTGTGTGGATCATTTAGCAAAATGAGGAAGCAGAGGCATTGCAACGTCTGTGTGTGTATTGAGAGGATGTGTGTTTATTTGAATTGTGTGAGATGTCTATAATGGTAATTTTATTTAGGGATAAAATTGTAATAAAAATAAAATTCATTAAGTGTGTGCAAAGAGTGGAATTGATGTGTGCAAATAGAGGCTCCCGAGATTCACACTTTGTGAAATAATTTGGTAAGAAGTTCTGAAGGACATATCTATCTAATGAATATTTATATAAATATTACAGTTATGGAGCTGATAATATTAATATTTAAATTTAAACATTATAAAGTGTTTTTGACCATACACAAATATATATATACCCTATTATATATTAAAAAGTGTTTTCAATTTGTATATATATACCCTAATATATATGTATTTATATATAAATTCACTCACTTAGACCATCTCCAACGTTGCATTAGATTGAGCATCAGATTTGAATTTGATGAAAAAAAAGTCACTTTTTCTTTCTCCAATGATTTTACCAAACTGATATCAAATTGAGAACGGAGCAAAAGTTTCACCAAATTGAAGATGTGTTGCACCTTTCACCAAATTACTGTGCGTAACCGTTGAGTGTGAACCTACCGGACGTCCACCCACATAACCAGCTCAAACAAAATTTTATGAAAATTTTACACTGAAAAAGAGAAAGATCAGAACCCTTGACTGGTAGACCGATCGGTCGTCCTCCCGGTCGACCAGTAGTTTGATGAAAAGCCAAATTTCTCCGTTAGAGCAGGCGATATCAAATAGAGGAACTCGTCTTTTTTTACTCAGATTTGATGAAAAATCTGATGAACTATTGGAGATGCTCTTATATACGTATATATACACTGTACACAGTACACTAATATATATATATATATCTACACAGATCCAAATATATACCCTAACATATATTGTAAAGTGTTTTCAATTTGTATATATATACCCTAATATATATATATATATATATGCACGTATATATAAAGTTGGTGCCAGAATTATATATATATACACAAATTCATTCACTGATATATATATATATATATACGTATATATAGTTGGTGGATCTGATATATACGTATATATTTAGATCTTCATGATGATGGCTCCGGCGAGAAAGAGTGGATGAGGAGTGAGATAGCTAGAGTGAGACGATCTGGGATGTGGTTGTTTGCAATTTCAAATCTACTTGAGTATCATCAAAAAAATTGCCACTGTCCATCGACAGCAGCATCCCACGGCGATTCTGGAGTAAGAGACGACAGTGGTGGTGGTTCAGAGATAAAAAGAGAGAGACTTCTCGAATAGCCTTATAGCAGTGGTCGTGGCAGTTAGGTGGCCAGTCTTCCTCGTCTCTTCCCCGGAGCAAATAAGCATTTCCTCTAATGAAATTTGAGATTGCCCTCTGGCGTCATTGACGGATCCCAACAAGGTGGTGATGGGGGAGTGGACTACGACGGTGTGGCTTCGAACGGTGGGACTTGAGAAGAGAGAGAGAGAGAAAAATATGAGGAGAGGAATTAGAGAGATTTGAGATATGATGTAACGCTCTCAAAATAATACATAAAACCCATCACCTTAGACATGCATTGATATAAAAGAAACCAACCATTTCTATTCATCAGAGTATTTCTTACAACAGTATTACATGTTAACAACAAAAACAAATGCCCTACGGGCTTACAGCTTTCCAAGTCAACACTTGGTTACACAAAAGAAGAGTATTAACTCTACACAAAATAAGCCCTTGGCTTGATATACATGTAATACAATCAAAATAAACAAAAAGAGTCTTCAACTCTCATCATCACCCAAGCTATGTCCGCGGAGGTGGCATGCTACCTGTACCTGAAAATAATGTCCCATATAGGGTGAGCCAACACCCAGTAAAGATATGCTAAACACAGTATGAGCAGTAACTAAGACATTAGCAATTGATGAATGTTTAATTCCCATAAATCAACTCTTAATCCATTACCGTTACATGACCACTATGTTCATGTTTCATTTCATTTTTCATTTCTTATCACGTTCACAATTCACAACAACGGCTCAGAACCTGGCCAACAACTTACATGAGACAGTGACTCTTATTAAACGTTTCTCATTTTACAATAGATAGGCATACTAGCTATATCAACATCTCAACAGATAAGCATACCAGCTGTATCCACATTTCAACAGATAAGCCTATAAGCTATATCAACACTTCCATAGATAAGCATATGAGCTATATCAACACATTAACTGACAAGCATATGAGCTGTATCAGTAGAGTCCATCCCCTATCTCCTCCCAAACAACATCCGGTTTAGAGGTCCATCCCCTATCTTCCCCTAAACCGTAGAGTACATCCCCTATCTCCTCCCACATACACAACGTATATACTCATAGGTCATATACACAATTAATCAATACATAACGTTAATGCATTCTATCAACCGTCATACTTTATGACACATCCAATTGATTAGTTTTAGTTTGCCTAATCATCATGCATTGTCTACAACAATCGCAACTACCCTCCACCGGTAGCCCAAAGCAATCATTTCTAAACAGATAATAAAAGCTGCAACAGATAAAATATCAATGTTTCCAAAAGTAAGCGATTAATAAATCCAACTTCACTAATCCATTCCATAATGAGCCAATGTCATTATATTCAACTCAATTCCATAAATCCATAACTTTTCCAAATTAATTATACTAATTAATTTACATACAAATTAGGGCTTTCTTCCTCATTTCTCAATATTAACCCAATGGTTCAAATATCAACAACCAACAACAATAACACCATTTTGAAACCCAAAATACATATTTAAGAATCAAAATGACAAAACCCCCATTTATACTTTTTGAAACCCTAAGTCCCAAAATCATACCATTTAACAAAATGTCCAATAATCTAGGTTAAAACCCATAATAGTGAGTAGGAATTCCTACCTCAAAAGTTGACACCCAACGAAGAAGATGAAAAAAATGGAAATGCTCCAAATCCCGAGATTCTTGGATCAAAAGATAGCCCTCGACGATCAACAACTTTTTTGTAAAGGCCAAAGGTGAGGAGACAATTCCTACTAGATCAATACCTAGAGAGAAGGCAAGGATCTAGAGAGAGAGGCTCTACAATGGAGTTTTTGGAAAAGTGAGAGAGAGAAGAGATGTGAAAAAGTGACTTGAAAATGCCCAACTACCTTCTGATATACGACAGGTCCGCTCGAGCGGAGAACAGGACGCTCGAGCGTTACACACAAAAATCTAGACACGCTCGAGCGCAAGAAGGCCCGCTCGAGCTCCAAGACACAAGAATAAAGTACATCCGCTCGAACGCGAAAACCAGTCCGTTCGAGCGTAGATTTCCCCCTCCCAGAACTCACACCAAAAATGTACTACCCGCTAGAGCGCTAACAAGCCCGCTCGAGCGCGACCCGCTCGAACGCAACCCGCTCAAGCGCAGGAAATCCGCTTGAGCGTAGAAATCACACCTGTAGAAGTTTTGCAAAGCACGAAAATACTGGGAGTGTGCAATATCCGCTCAAGCGCTAGAAGACCCGCTAGAGCGGAACGACTAAAAACCTGGCAACAAGAAATTAGACCAAGGCTCAACCCACCTGCTCGAAACATGCCCAACACATCTTAAAACTCAAACAAAATGGAATTAAAGGATGACAACAAGGTAGACACAACTACCAACTCCACGGAACCGAGTCCGGAATGCAACTGAACAGTAAAGGGAATACCGGAATCGCTATATATGAGGAGAGAAGAGAGAGAGATCTGGAAGCAAGGTATAAAGCGCGTGAAGGGCAAATGCGTAAGGATAGTTTGGTCATTATGTAGAAGCTTATCTTTTTGAGCATATTATTTTAGCACCTGTATTTTTTAGCAAAGAAAATCCAAAAGTGAATTTATAGACCAAGTACCCTATATTATATTTATATATATATATATATAAGAAAAAAATAGTTAAAAATATATATATAAAAATTAAAATTTTTAATTTCATCAACTTTGCCAATTCACCTGACCCGTCCCCGGTTTGTGACTTGGCCAATTCACCTGACCCATCCCCGGTTTGGCGGTCCAACCGCCGGTCTTTCCGGTTCTTTCTAAATAGGCCGATTTTTGGCTTTAAACGATTTAGAGAGTATATCTAGACCGAAATTCCAACCGATTAATGGTTTAACCGGTCGAACCGACCAATCTAGTTCGACTTTTAAAACCATGATGTCACTTTTGTACATACAAGCTTTACATGTAATCGCATACCATTGCAGCTGTTTCTGTGATTTGTCACTAAACTTAAACCTGCTTAAAAATATAAAAGAAAAAGATAATTCCAGCGCACAAAATTGCTGCCACTTTGGGTTTGAAAACTAGGGATAGTCGCGGTTTGGTTTTGGACAGGTTGCGGATCGGTATGAACCCACCCACATACATGCGGTTTGAGGAAAATTTAACCCGCAACTGCCCGCAGTACGGGTTGCGGTTTGTGCAGATAGGATTCAGGGAGGTGCGGGCGGTTGATTAGACTTTTTTCAATTTTCAGATTCAATATCAATTTCCAAATTCAATATAATATAAAATTGATTTCAATTTCAAAAGTAATTAACAAATTCAATTTCCCCTTCATAAAGAAATAGATTCAATTTCCTACAATGTTCACAGAGCAAACAAAAATAAAAACATTCAAAAACAATGTTCTCCACAACATTTCTTTTTGTAGCATGAAATTAGGATTTGGTGTGTTGGCCAAAAATATCTACGATAGGATGAATGAAATCAACTGTCCGTGTTTAAAAAAAAATAAAATAAATGATGATAATAATAATAATAATAATAATAATAATAATAATAATAATAATAATAATAAAATCTAAATTTCTTCATTTTTCATTGCACTTTTGTCATACCAATATGAAATTACAATGGAGATTCAATTTTAGTACGAACATTTTCTTTCTGTTTACATATCAAAATTATTATAACAAAAGAAAACAATACTTGAAGATGAATAGGACAGTTTCTGTTAGAATAGTGAAACTCTCGGAGTACTTCCTCTCGGCAAGACTCTGGCGAGCACCAAGACACAAGAATAAAGTACATCCGCTCGAGCGTGAAAACCAGTCCGCTCGAGCGTAGATTTTCCCCTCCCAGAACTTACACAAAAAAAGTACTACCCGCTCGAGCGCCAACAAGCCCGCTCTAGCGCGACCCGCTCGAGCGCAGGAAATCCGCTCGAGCACACCTGTAGAAGTTTTGCAGAGCACGAAAATACTGGGAGTGTGCAATCTCCGCTCGAGCGCTAGACGACCCGCTAGAGCGGAACGACTAAAAACCTGGCAACAAGAAATTAGACCAAGGCTCAACCCACCTGCTCGAAACATGCCCAACACATCTTAAAACTCAAACAAAATGGAATTAAAGGATGACAACAAGGTAGACACAACTACCAACTCCACGGAACCGAGTCCGGAATGCAACTGAACAGTAAAGGGAATACCGGAATCGCTATATATGAGGAGAGAAGAGAGAGAGATCTGGAAGCAAGGTATAAAGCGCGTGAAGGGCAAATGCGTAAGGATAGTTTGGTCATTATGTAGAAGCTTATCTTTTTGAGCATATTATTTTAGCACCTGTATTTTTTAGCAAAGAAAATTCAAAAGTGAATTTATAGACCAAGTACCCTATATTATATTTATATATATATATATATAAGAAAAAAATAGTTAAAAATATATATATAAAAATTAAAATTTTTAATTTCATCAACTTATTTTTAATTTCATCGACTTGGCCAATTCACCTGACCCGTCCCCGGTTTGGTGGTCCAACCTCCGGTCTTTCCGGTTCTCTCTAAATAGGCCGATTTTTGGCTTGAAATGATTTAGAGAGTATATCCAGACCGAAATTTCAACTGATTAATGGTTTAACTGGCCGAACCGGCCAATCTAGTTCACCTTTTAAAACCATGATGTCAATTTTGTACATACAAGCTTTACATGTAATAGCATACCATTGTAGCTGTTTCTGTGATTTGTCACTAAACTTAAACCTGCTTAAAAATATAAAAGAAATAGATAATTCCATTGCACGAAATTGCTGCCACTTTGGGTTTGAAAACTAGGGATAGTCGCAGTTTGGTTTTGGATGGTTTGCGGATTGGTATGGACCCACCCGTATACATGCGGTTTGAGAAAAATTTAACCCGCAACTAAACAGGGCGGGTTGCGGTTTGTGCGGATAAAGTTTGCGGATGTAAAAGCGGTTGCAGGCGGATTGTGAATTGGACTTTTTAAAAAAAAAAATTTATTTTGGAACCTTTTTTTTTTTTTCCATTTTGTAAATATTTATTTTGGACCTTTTTCCTCCCATTTTCAAAAATGCTCTAACATTAATAATTAATGAATTAAAACTTATAAAATTTAAAACACAACAAAATCAATTCCTAACATAAACAAATCATTCAAAATTCTAAACATTTAAATCAAATCATAAACTAACACAAGCACATCTTTCAAAATCTTAAACTAGATCATCAATCTCACTATCTACTACCTAACAACACAATTAAAGTAAAATTATTCAAAATCCTAAACTTACGTAAAAGTAATTCTTCATTAACTTTTACATTAATCCAAAATGCAATAATAAAATAACAATGGTCTAGGTTTTAAAAAAAAAAAAGAAAAAGGTCTAAGTACAGGCAGATTCTTACAGGTGCAGGTTAAACCTGCAATTCACAATCATGCCATATTCCAAACCGCATCTGCCCGCATTGTGTCCGCGAAATCACCCATTTGTATGCGAATCAATTCGGGTTGGGCAGTTCGGATAACCCTATACCTAGCCCTACTGAAAACAATCAAAGAAACTCTTTCTGTGATTTTAACCTGCTCAGGTCACAACTTAACATCTACAAATAAAAATAGAGAATAACAATAATAATAATAAAATCTAACCCCTTTTCGTATTTATTCTTTACAATTCATCTGGGGAACATTAAGATCTGGCCTAAATTTCATTAATTCATATTTGGTTCATCATTAATAATATATAAGCCAACAAATCCAGGTAAATCTATCATTTATCCCAAAAAAAAAAAAAAAAAATCCAGGTAAATCTATCGGTGCAGTGATATCTTCAGAATTATCAAAATGGTTGTCAAACCTTGTGCCTTTTGAGCTAATTATAATTAAATTTTAGAAAACAACATTTCAGCTTCATTATACATAGAATCATGACCCAAATGAAGCTTTTCCCTCTCAGATTTAAACAGCAGAAGACATGTATGTACAATCATAGAATTAACCATTTAATTTTACAACACCTCCCAAATACCCTCACCAGTAAAAGAATAAATCAAATGTAATATATAAATATATTACATATTATTACAAACACAGCCTGCCAAAGCTCTCAATCCAGAGGTAAATTGTGGGTGTTTGAAATCGGAATATGCACATCACCCCCACATTGCAAAGTAGCCCAACTCCTCTGAATCCCCAACTAATATTGGCCATTCCTGTCTAGCGGGGTTTCATTTTGATACAAAAATCATTTCTTTCCTTACCGAGACTTCAAATGGTCAAAATCCTCCATGCCATTCCAAGACTTCTAAATGGGCAGCCTTAAAGTGATCAATATCGTACACAATGCTATCTGTTCGGGTTTTTCAAGAGAGCAAGGATTTCAATATCGTCACAAGTTTCCGTGACAAGCTGAAGAGGTGTTTTACCTTCTCTGTCACAAGCATGTGGATCAGCTCCCCTGCACCACATTAGTAACCAGGGTAGTAGTCATTAACATAATGCAATGAGATAAATCATAGTAAGCAAGGATGATTTGGGTTAGTAACCACGACATAGTTTCAAAATAACTGACTAATCAAAGTTGGTACAAAGCACTGGGATCAGAATTGATTTCAAGCCTGTTTTTTCCACTCCGGCAACTGAAACCATTTGAAGTTTTACTCAAATATCAGAAAAGTTGTCTGAACAAAACAAATAGAATAAGAAAAGGTTTGCAATGTGTACAAAGATATTTTGGTATATTTACTTGCTGAAGAGCAGAGTCTGTGCACATGGTCAGGTTAACCACTTGGATTGAACCCTTGGGGTTTATTGAAAAGAAACTACCTATCTACTTCCATGTATGAGTAGCTTTACCACAACAAACAAGTACTGCAATTTTTTTTTAAGTTAAAATTCTGCGACTCCTTTTTGTTTACATCCCTGCATCTAAATTTAAAGGAGCATTCAGAAAATGGAGTATGAACCCAAATAAGAATAATGCTACTTATCAGGGTCTTTCTTGTAGGCATTGGCTTTTGGGAAAGATCAAAGGCAATATCTTAAAACTCTCCTATATTAATCAATGAAGATAGATTGATTATATATTTGTTTTCTTTCTTTTGTGAAGTTTAGTGTGTCAAACATCAGAAGTTTCATTCAGTGCATTAGGTAAGCTATGCAATAACCAAATTCTCATTTTGGTTATTTTCTTCTCTTTTTCTTTTAAGTGGGCATTTCCTGGCTTTCCACATATATAATAGGTAGAAACCTACTTTTATGGTATTTGTCATATTTAAGTTCACACAGTTGCATGTCAGAGACTGAAAACAAAAGATCCACATCTATAAATTTACAGAAGTTGGTTAACACCCAAAAAAATTCACAGCTTTGGCTCCCAATGCCCCCAACTAACAAACAATCTAAAACCACACTACTACATTAATAGGCAAAACAAAGTACAAAATTGCAATCTAGATTATCACAAGTGAACAAGTAGGGACAATATCATACCTCAAGGATCTTCATGATAGCAGGAAAAAATAAAAATAAAAAAAATGTTAGCAAACACAGCACATTTACCATGTTTAAACAAATAAAGCTGATTGCAGACATTGGGGGATGATTAGTAAGATAACCTAACCACCAATGAACAAGTACTGAAATTTCTCCCATGTCACTAAAGGCCAAAAACATTTTCATGGAACAAGTGGTCTAATATGTATCATATTGAATGAGAAAGAGAAAAAAAAAAAAACAAGACAAAACACATAAAGGAGAACAAAAAAAAACTTGTGCATATACCAAATGACAGGAAATGTACTACCATGAAATGGAATCACAACCAGGGAAAGAAAAAAAGGTACTGAAGTTAAGGAGATGTTAAAGACAAAGAATCACCTAGTAAGAAGAAGTTTTGCAATTGCAATTCTTCCTCTGATAATACTATGATGCAGTGGTGTCTGCCCTCTTGAATCAGAAGCATTTACATTTGCACCATGCTGCAGGAGCAACTCTACCATGCCAATATCAGCAGCTTGGCAGGCAAGGTGAAGTAGGGAACAGCCGTCAAGAAATTCATCATCAAGAAATTCAGCTATGAACTCATCTTTGCTTTCTCTAACTGAAGAAAAAGAGCTCGAGGAATCCGTTAAATCAGTTAAGCAGTCGAAGTAGGCATCAGGACTTTCTCCGTGCGCTTGACATTGCATTGCTTTGGACAAATTTAATGATGTACCAGATGAAGCTTGCCCATGGATGGCATTAACATCTGCTTCGTAAGTCACAATAAGGCGATAAGCTGCTTTCTTGTCATTAGCATGGACACTTCCCCACAACTGTTGTGCCACTGAAAGAAGGTGCTGATTGTCCTCTCCTCTGTGAACAAAACGTTTTTCTGCATACTGCAGTGAGGAAAAAAACACTTCGTTTAAGGTCCACATTGATCAAACTTATATTCAGACAAGTAATTACGCAATAAAGTAATAAAAACAATCCAAATAAGTCTGCAAAAGTAAAGTACATAAACACGTATGTTTACACACAATGTAAAAATTATACACCTTTGCACGCATAAATGTATGAGGCCTATATATGTATGTAACTGTGTGTGAATTAGTATGAATAGATGCATCATGTTTTGACTGACCAAAATTTCATAATTATGTAAGAGTAAATTGTACCCACCCAAAGCTTTTCTTGATTGTTGGTGATAAAAGAAAAAAATGAAAGTGCAATTGCCTATATTGTAAGGATCATACTCTTCAGTGATAGGGTGATTAAGTGGTGTTAATCGATGACCCCATATCACAATTCAAACTCCTTGACTGTGTGATGTAATAAGTAGTAGAGAGAGAGAGAGAGAGAGAAGAAACTAATCCTAATAAAATAGGAAACCAAATCCTATTATTATTAGAAAACTTCATCCTAATAAAATAAGAAACCAAATATTACTAATATAATATCCTAATTAACTATAAATAAAAAATAAATAAACATAAATATAAATATAAAAACATAAAATTACAAAATATCCAAGACAACTTAGACCAAGCACATTCCGCATTTTTCTTCCTGACTGAGAAAATTAGCTCGACTTCTAGTTCGCTTTGAAATATTCAACTCTTCCATACCAGCAAATCAAATACGTGGAAGTATGAGAATTGCTCGATCTTTGTTTTAATCTAAGGAATCCCAGCGATTAGGTTGTTGACGAGGCCCACCAAATATGAATTAATCATGGAAAAAAACCTGTAACACCAATAAAATCAATCCTAGCTAACTTGATCGAAGAATCAATTCGTGGCAGGTCAATATGGAGCTCTTCTTTTGATAAAACCATGTTGCACGTGAGATTTTCTCTCTTCAACTTCAACTTCGAGTTCTTGGATTTAACACTTTCTGAATTTACTTATAAAATAGCAGCACTATCCTCATAGAGTGGAGTTGCTTGGTCCTTTTGATGAATTTATGAATCATCTTCTAAAACATGGGCAAACAATTTATGCAAAGTTGATTGTATCTGTGCCATGAGGCCTTACATCCGAGTATGTTTTGATATCAAATTTGAGTACAAATAGTGGTAAACATGGTTCAAGGGGAGGCAGAAAGGTGATTTTGATTTTTGCACGGATGTGTTCTCAGTGCTGGTTGTCAAACAAAGGCTGCGATAATTTTGGCAGAGATGGTGGGTTTCAACAGCGAGGTGATGCGATAGTTGGGGGTCATGATCGATGACTAATTTGGACAATGGTTGGTGATGATGGTTCGAATGGACGTGGTTGTTTTAAGAATGCAATGATGTAGAACAAAATTTTAGAATTTTTATATTTATATTTTTATTATTTTGGATTTAGATATTGACTAGGATTTTGTTAAATAGTCTATGATTTTTAGTTTCCTGTAAACATAGTAGCTAAATAATTCCAACGTGTTACACATTGCTTGTGAAGTCTGTGTTCATTTTGTTAGAATTTACCATCACCTACCACCAATTTACCATCACCTACCACCACCTACACCTCACCTACTCCACTAAACCTAACCCACTACACCACTATCACCTCCACTTCACCTACTCCACTAAACCTAACCCACTACACCACTACCACCTCACCTACTCCACTAAACCTAACCCACTACACCACTACCACCTCCACTTCACCTACTCCACCTACCACCTACTCTTCTATATATAGGAATCATTGTAACATATCAATATATCAATCAATAATAATACATACAATTTATTCTCTCTTTCTCTATACATTATTTCTTACACATTTGTATTGATTTAAGTTTTCTAGTTTATTTTAGATTACTTACTCAAAAGAGTTAGGTTTCATTTATTATGAATACATAAATACATGTGTAAGCCTATGGGCATGAAGGAACTCAATCATTCAATCAATAATACTTTCAGAGAGTTTTTCTTATTTTCCTTGTCGAGATTCAATGTTGTTGTGGATTCAAGAAATCACATCTACTAGAATGATATCTAGTCCTCGTTTCATTTACTAAAAAGATATCTAGTCCCTTCTACTAATGCATCAGAGCGAGATCTGTCCTTGACTCGATTTCAATGGCTGTTGGTTGTAATCAAGGTCAACCAAACCTCATGGACCACTGAGGAATATTTTGTAACCATGGCTATGTTCAAGTAATTGCAACCGTATGTGCACCTTCATTCACACCAAAATTTTACATATTATGAAAAATTATCTAAATTTAGTAGTGGTTGTGGATATTTTGAAGATATTCTAGATAGGCAATGCCTGTATTCATTCATCGTCAAAAATAAGATGTATAATAGAAAAAAAATTCCATGAAATTATGAGCAATTATTAGAGGAAAAATACAAGCCAAAACATGAAAACATGAATATTCATCCAAAGAAATCCCTCAACAGTTTAAGTTTGAAGACAAATCTATATTGCCTCACGTCCAAGAAATAATTGAAGAAAAATTCTTGAAAGTATACCATGAAGAAATTCAAGACAAACAAGACATTATTGCAAAAGTCATAGAAAGTAAACATTCCTCAATGGAGTAAATTGTCCAATTTCAAGACTAGAATTTCCTTGAACCTATGATGTCATTAGCTATCACCAGTTTCTAAAGATCTTAGAGGACAATTTTTAAATGCTTTGAATTGCTTTCAAAAAGAGGATCCTGCTTGTTGTGTTGGTTTGGACACAAGATTAATGGAGCAGTTGTTCATGTGTTATTATTTGCAGGGTGACTAATCAAGTACCAAAAATATCAATCAAGTACAAGATGGATGTGGACAAGCTAAAGCATATGATGTTGTTTCAAACTATGGAAACTCGAGGACGAGTTTTCTTTAAGAAGAAGAGAATGATGTAGAACAAGGTTTTAGAAATTTTATAGTTATATTTTTATTAATTTGGAATTAGATTTTGACTAGGATTTTGGCCAATTTTCAGCTGTTTTTCTTGGCCCGGTACTTGTTTGGAGATGAGTCTCAACACAAGGTGCTGCTTGGGATGACTCCGGGGATGTGAAGCTGCAATTTTGTTTTTGGGTGCTGGTTGGTCCATGCCACCTCCCCTGTTTTGGCTGTTTAAAACTTGTTGCCTTGGGGCATGTTAGTTTCGCTTAGACATTGTATTATGAATATAATCTTTTAGACTAGCTGTTTAGGTCTTGCCAAACCTTTGGCTTGGATATTGCTTCGCTTACCTACCAAACAAAAAAGTTTCGTAGTTTATTTAAGATTACTTATTCTACAAGTATTATGTTTGATTTATTATAAATATATGTGTTGGGGATGTTTCGCATTCTATCCAGTTTGTGTGTATAACCCTGTTTGCAGCCTGCTCGACCCGACTAATAGGGGGTCTGGGGTGGAGCCCCTAGCTACTAGGTTTGACCCAGTTCTTCTTGTATGCAGATTCTGGTATAGATTATGGGTTAATTTTGAGGTTTGGGGTTATGAGATTAGAGAAATCAATTGTTACAAACAGCTCTCTTGTATTTTCTCCTTCTTTTGATACTGAAACCCTCTGCTGTTTTTCCACCCGTAGATGTAGGCTTACAGTCGAACCACATATAGGCTCGTGTTCTTGTGCGATTGCTTGTTTTGTCTTCTTATTTTTGTTTGTTACGTCGTATCATGTGTAAGCCTATGGGCATGAAGGAACTTAATCATTCAATCAATAATACTTTCAGAAAGCTTCTCTTATTTTCCTTGTGGATTCAAAGTTGTTCATGTGGATTCACGAAATCATGTCTACTAGTCTAGAATGATATCTAGTCCCCGTTTTGTCTACTAGAAAGTTATATAGTTCCTTCATTACTGCTGTGTCAATTTATGTCTTCTCATTCCTGACCATGAACGAATACGTGCCTTGCCTAGCTGCTGTCTTGATGATTGTAAATCTACAATCACAAATTCACAATAGCACGAGACCTATAAGCTTTAATAACACATACCTTCACTTTTCTTCATTTGAAATTTTCAGATCTTCAAAAAAAAACTTCTACACCTAGTTACCAATCTACAATATCTTCAAAATATTCACAATCACTAAATTTAGACAAATTTTCATAATATCTAAAAATTTGGTGTAAATGAATGTTCTGCACATACAGTTGCGATTGCTTGAACATAGCCATGGCTACAAACAGTTGTTTGGGTTGGTCCACGAGGTTTGGTTGACCTTGATTACAACTAATGACTATTGACTTCGAGTCAAGGAGAAACCTCACGTTGATACCAATTAGTAGAAGAGACTAGATATCGTTCTAGTAGACAAAACGGGAATTAGATATCGTTCTTGTAGACGAAAGGGGGACTAGATATCATTCTAGTATTCTTGAATCCACAAGAACAACCTTGAATCCACTAGGAAAATACGAGAAATGCTCTGAAAGTAATTGAAGGATTAAGTTCCTTCATGCTCATAGGCTTAATACCCATAGAATAACTAATTTAAAATAAACTAAGAAACTTAAATCAATACAAACTAGAAATCTAAGAAAATAGGAAACTAAAAATTCTAGACTATTTAACAAAACCCTAGTCAAAATCTAATTCAAAAATAATAAAAATATAAATATAAAAATTCTAAAATCTTGTTCTACATCAGGCAACCATGTTGTTTGAATAGAAACCCGCGTCACCATACCTTCAACCCCATTGCAGATGTGACTTAAGCTAAAGCAACTCAAAGGCTCCATGAACCATTAACAATATTCGTTTACACGTGATTTAATTGCCGTTAAACATGACATCCTAGGCAGGAGGGATGCTAATTCGAAATAACTCTCTCCTCTAAAAGAGTATTTCATCAATTATAATCATATATAGGTATCTCAGAATCTAATGAGTAACCTCTAATTTGAGTGGCCGTCAGTTAGTGCATAAAAAACCCATCAAAATTCTCAAGTCAATCAATCTAAGCTTTATCACCATTATCACTAACAGAAGGTTTTGTTCAATTAGAGGACACATTGCTTTGTTTCAAGGATCACATCTCTTTCAAAAGGATCCATCATAAATGAATGAACAGCTCATTTCCCTGATAACATTTGTACCATACTGGCTCCATAAGTAAGAAGGTGAAAAAGAATATAGCCAGTTAGGCAAATATTTTCATAAAAAGAAGAAAACTAGAAAGGACAGTAATTACCTTTGCATTAATGAACTTCTCCTTTATTGAAATATGAGCATCATGGCTGGGCTTGCTAAAAAACTGTTTTTTATCATACTCAAAAAACCTGCATCACAAGAGTAACACATTTGTTGAAATACAATCCTAAACATTTCAACTATACTTCAAATTCTTACTTGATAGGTATTTCATCAGCCTGAAAAGTTCTTTGTGCAGGTAACAACCCCTCCCATATTGAGTTCACAAAGGTATTACCCAGTGCCTGAAACAAATTGATTACAGAAGGTTCCCACACTTTAACATCAAGTGCTAACGACCTTACCTGCATTCACAGCCAACAAAAAGGGCTGCATAAATGATCTAGGAAAATGAAGTACTAGGCATACCAACATAACTCTTTCAACATATAGGATGTCATTGGGAGTAGCCTAACTCAAAAGGTAAACTAGAATCAACCAGTACAAGATTCCCTGCCATAGTTACGCTTAGCTCAAGCATGCCAAGCAATGATACTCCGATATTTTGAAATTGCAACTCCAATCTGTTAAACATGACGCCTATAAGTGAACAGCTGTAGCTTGCATGCTTCTCCTTTTCATGATTTAGGTATAAATGTCAAAGGGGTGCATGAGGATGGTGTACATTGCACACTTAGATTATTTTGCAATTGCCTTGAGTCATTAACAAGTTCAATTGAAAAAATATTGTCATATATATGTGTGTGTGTATACATATCAGACTGCTAGTTTAAGGTTAAGGACTTGTTTTGTTAAAAGAACATGTAAGAACACAATAGAATTGCACAAAGAGCTAAACAAAGTGTTTTAAGCTTCTTCTCTTTTTTTTTTATCCTCACTTTAAGCTGTCAATTAAATTTTTACTGGTAAAGCTGATAATTGGTCAGCAATGTTGAATACAACCGGTAATTACTGAAACTTCAGTACAAGCAAAACTATCAAACATTAAGTAAAGTGTACCAGGGTGGCCAATTGAAGTAACTTGGTTTAAAAATTTTGTAGTAGTATTTATTTTTCCCTAATTTTTTTTATTAACTTAATCCATTTACTCTTGAATTTTCTCCAAGGGATTACTGGCTGTGTGTTGGCGTGTGTGTGGGCGGGGAGGTTGTCTAAAATTTTGTGAAACTTATAGTTTGTTTGAAATTTTCATTAATAACTTACTAAGATGAACTCCCAAATTTTATACAAGAAAAAACTTAAGGATAATTTGTTCTTTGTTTGACCCCACTGTACAAAATTCTGGCTCCACCAGCCTGAGAAAGACTTGGACCTGGACTTGCCTCAATGAAAATGCAAGAGAACTGTTTGCATAAATCTCAAAGGAGGAATTTGACTTGATCCCAGAATATGTTTGTATGACATGAGAATCATTTTCTTTTTTCTGCTAATGATTCTAACCAAAATCCATTTTTTGGGCACAACACGAATTTGTATTCTCAAATGATATTGGAAGGATTTGTAGCCGTTGTGGAAATTCCATTTTCTCTGTTTTCCCTAGAAGGTAAAGAAATAGTAAAATCTCAAAATTTACAATCAATTCATTCAATATTTCCTTGTTTAGCACCATATAACAAAAGTGGGGAAAAAAATCAAAAAATTAAAAATTAAAAAAAGTAAAAGAAACTATTTCCACAGGGTAAAAACCATTTTTTTCTTTCTATTGATTTTATGATTTTTTTTTTTTTTTTCCCCGTATCTAATGATCTCAGTGCAACGAAATCTCTTATGAAGTTCTTTTCCAGATGAAGACGGTCCTACTACAGATTACAGGATTTGACATTACTAACACGCCATGTTGTTTTCCATGAATTGGCAAACAATTTCTCAATGGTGTTAAATCCCCGACATTGGAACATTTCACTCCTTTTAGTTTCTAAAATAAGGCCAGACTACATTTGATTGATAAAATTAATTCAGAGTATGCAAAAACATATCTAACTGAGATCTTTCAAAAAAATCTCCAATAAAGTATGAGTGTGTTTCAAGAATTAGGACCTTTGTGTAAATGATCATGCTCTAAGTTTTGGCCTCAAAAGTCGAAATGCTATTGTGCATAGCATCAAGTGTTCTTTTAAAATTACCAAAATAGACATCTAAGTGTTGCAGTGTCAAATCAAACCTAAAAACTTACTTTAGATATATGCACCCCAAGGTTACGATGAACACCGGAACATTCAATGCAGATAATCACGCCTAGGTTTAAAGAAGCCCACTCTGGTTCGGGTGCACCACAATCAGCACATTTATCATTTCCAAGCACTCTTTTTAAAGCATCAAGTGACTTCTCACTTTTTTCACTGTACGGTAGCTGTTGTAAACTTCTAGATGCACGAACCAAATTCCTAGAGCTTAGGTCATCAGCCAGATGTTGTCCAATTGCCCTTTGACCAAAATCAGAGGAACTTCCAATGGAACTACTATAGCTGAGAGATCCATGACAACCAGTTACCGTCGGACTAGCAGTCAAACGCTGAAAGATATTTGAAACATAATTATGAAAAATAATGATAAAAATCAACAGCCACATGGTAAACTAAATATTCTTGGCATTTTACCCTCTCAGGTGCCTGGGAACTCAACAATGAAGCAATCACTCCAGTTATTTTTTCGATCCAGTCCATTTGTTCCAGTGCACTCTCTGCCTATATTGCCAAGCAATTGCTGCATATTACTAAGCCTATGCTAACAAATATTTAACAATGCACCAACTTATTCAATGAGAACATCAAAACCAAAATAAGTTATCCTAGCATAACAAGAACCAACATTTATATGTAAAGCTGACCTTCGACAATATACCTGCAAAGTATAGTTCTTTGTTGGTGAAATTATCCTGAAGCAGAACCTCAAATCTGACTGATCTGCATCAACCTTAATTGTTGATGTCAGCAGGTTCACAGTGTGGCGTGCGACAGCTTTTTCATCATGTACACCACCGTGGTAATGAGACGACAGCCACCGACTCAGCAGCCCAGAACCAGCTTCAGAGGCATTGTTCCTGTGTGCAGGAAGTTGACTCCCACCTCCCTGAAGCAATAAACTGAAGATTTAATAAGCACTGGTCATGACAAGAAAAAGCATTAAAGCACAAACATTCAATGTTATCTTTCATGACTTACAAAGGGCCTGCTCCATTGTTTGCGATAGTAGTATAGCATGCCTCGATTATCAAGAACAAAAAATCTTCTCTTCCAGTCACCCCTCAAATTGGAGGAACGTTTTGAGAGGTATCCTTGTTTGATGGTTTGAACCTAAACTATTGAAATCTTAGCTATCGATGAAAATCAAAACTAGTTCAAAAGGAATAAAATTGAATGCTACAAAGAAAGAAAGAAAAAGGAAAGAATGAAAGTCAAACAATAGACAGAGATGACAAGAAGATCATATTGAATACCCTTCCTTCTGCAGCAGACTGCATCACCGCCTTTATCTCTTTATGAGAACTTCTGGGGAATGGCTTCCTAGCATCTCCATTGGGGGAAATATGAGAAAGAATCAAGGACTGCCTACTTTCTCGATCAACCTGCCTTTTGTACTCTTTGATCCTCTCATTAAGTGTTGCCTGCTCATACCTGGAACTTTCTCTTGATTGTTGTGCATAAGCCAAAACCTGTAACACAATGACCTAAAATTTAATAGTCACCCAATAAGATGGAATACACAGTTGAGGAAAGCAAAAAGGATTCCATAACATCACTGTAAAAGTAGCCTACACCAAAACAGTAGTCAATCCTGGATCAAATGGCAGATTACACCCACATGAGATCTACAGATTCAACATCTGGATGGATGTCATCAGGATTGCAAATGCATGTTCATATGACCAACAAGTTTGCAAATGTGTACTCACTAGGAAGAAATGATGAGGACTAATACACAACAAACCCTAACCAACTGGAGCTAGCTCAGTTGGCCAGAACCCTTGAAGCTGACTAGGAGGTCAAGGGTTGAAGTCCTGCCACAGACAAGACTCTCCCCCTCCACCAGGCTGTCACATGTTGACCTTTCAAGTCCAACTCTGTAACATGACGTGTTCAGTCAAGGCCTTTGGGAATGCGCATGAGTGTGGCATCCAGATTAAAAGTCAGTGGTTGGACACCCCAACCTGGCCTAGAAGATGGCCCCAAGTAGTCCAACGCATGCATGTCAAGTAGCACGCCCAGTGCCGCGTGCGACCGCCAGCCCAAGCCTACACATTGGTGCATGTCAAGCAGCTCGGTGGGGCATTTTGGCTAGGTTTAGCAAAATCAAGGATTTAACACCTCAAAAGGAAAAGTGCTTTTAAAGTTCACTACTTTTTGCTATTACTTTGTAAACATGGTACAAGAAAAGTACTATAATATTTTGACAAGAGAACTAAAGACTTCCTTGCTCCAAAAGAAATCATTACTCTGATAGGCTTTGTAATGGTTCTTTTCAAGGGTATATGAGCAAGAGTATATTAATTGGAAACGTTATTTTCGCCATTTAGTTGTTTTTAAGGGAGGAGCACAACTTTGTCTTCAACCTTCCAATTCTTGCTTATTAGGTCTTCTTTTCTTATTCTCTCACAAGATGCAGCCAATTCAATCTAAGAAAATATGCACTGTCTTGGCCAAAGAAGCAAAGATATTGAACCACAGTACAAGCCAACTAACAGAGAATATTAATACTGGATAATATAGACCTGGTTGATATAAGGTTCCAGTTGATGCAATAGCTCGTATCCCTGCATGAAACAAAAGGTTTAGAAGCAGCACAACAGAACCAAAATAACTCGGTAGGAAGGATGGTGGAGTTATCTTCATATTACACACCTGTTTGAAGTAATGAAGATGAGCATCCATTGTACCACTAACAATCTCCAAAAGCTCAAACCTCTTTTTTGACTCAACTTTAGCAAGAGCACCAACCTAAGTTAAAAATAATAACAATAAATTTAAAATAAAATAAAAAAAAAAATAAAAAAAAAAAACTGAATTTCAAAGACTAGTGATTTCGGCATTGCATCTTTACCTAGATTTCTTGTCGCCTTTTTTTTTCATATGATTTAGATTATTTAACACCTCAGAAAATTAAATTTATATGAAAAGGATGGGGATGACAGAGTTACCAAATTGAAGCGTGCTTGCTCAAACGTCAATCTTGCATTGTGAAGTTCCTGGAACGGCTCTCTACCAAATTAGAATTTAAAACAAGTGATCGTTACCCATAAAAACTCTCTGATCAATTAGTGCATCAAAATGAATAGCATATTATATAAAGGACAACTAATACTGGATACCTCCTCTATGGCAGCAGCTATATCCATCCTAGTACTTTTCCGCAATGATAGATACTTCTCACGCGCCTATGGCACAAAATGGGCATGAAGATTAAGAAGGCATCAAGTAAAACATCAAACAGCATCAAGTTCCTCTGATTATGCATGCAAATCAAATCATGTGTTAAATATTTAAATATGTTGACAATGGCGTCTGCATGTGGATTCCCAGCACTCTCACAGAATTCATAAATGTGAGAGAATACGTTTAAAATGCGCAACATGTGCAGTGGGTTAGAGGTTGGCATTTATTGCCAGATTTCTATGTTGAATGCGAATCCTTAGTGGAACCAGATTCAAAGTACAGCAACTATTTTTCCTTTTCTTTTACTTCTTCCTTTTCATTTTGAGGAGTGCTTGGTGAGGTGAAAGAATTCCATGGAAGAGATGTGTAATTAATAATCATAGCTTTACGAGGCTGTAACTTCATGGCACAAAAATGCTCAGCAATATGGAAACATGTCCAAAGAATTAGTTTAACAGAATAAAAGTATTAAGAAAGGTTAGTGAAGATGCCTGAAGCGATAGTCGAAAATTTATGCACTAATGACAACTTCTGCAACTGGCACCAATGAAAGAAAAAAGCATGAAAGTCCTTTTAACATTGTTTGGCTATATAGACAAGGACAGATCATGCATACTGAGGAGTGATCCAATTCAAGTTGAAGTCACAAAAAGGAAGAAATACCAAAAAGCAAAATTGTCAAGGCTGTGACGAAATACAGACAAATTTGCCAAGCATTTATGAAAGGATAGATAGAGCTGATGGAGAATAAGGATTCATGTCCGAAATTCTAAATTCTGCCACTCTTCGGAAATCATATCCTCCTGTTAGGACAACACTATTCCCTCGCTTTTGAAACCAATTTGAATCTAATTGCAATTCAAATGATGACGTCAACAGAGTATTAGCATCCATGCATCTCGCATCAATATTTGTAAGAGAGACGTCACATTACAATCAAGATGCCATACTGTTTCTACCACCAAGTTAGTTTAGCTTGTGTGTATTTGGTGTTCTGTTTTGTCAAGGAGAGGTAGGAAGTTTAACGTAAAACAAAAAGATGCAGAATCTTCAAGTGTTACCTCTCACTTCAAAAAAAAAAAAGTTGTACTCCCTCTGTCCCAAAATATTAGTCCCTTTTGGAGAATGCAGCTTTTTTTGGTAGAACAATTATTACTTCAAAAATACTAACTTTCCAAAACTAACCTTTGACTTTTTTGGGGAACATCAATTGTCATAATTATACTTTTTGTGTACGAATTTAAAAGAAGGGCAAAATAAGAAATTCATGTTATTTTAGTCCTTGATTTTTTAAAATAGACTAATATTTTGGGACAATGAAAAATGGAATGAGAGACTAATATTTTGGGACAGAAGGAATATTAATTACATACAGTTAGAGGCCTAGGATACCCAATTAGCCCAAACTAAGGACAAAGTCCACTCTAATTTTCCTACCGAAGCTGATTAAAACAGAATTTAGTCGAATCCATGAATTTGGATGATCAAACTTGTGGATTTGATTTGTCAACTGCAAATTAGACAACAAGCATAGTTCCTTACCATTTCTACTGAAAAGTTATGACACACTACATTTCATTTGGACAATTAACAAAATGTTAATTACCAAGCTTGTTGCCATACATTCCACCTGTGTCGTATCTGAACTAAGCAGCATAACATTTTTCACAGGGACACTCTATTCTTACAGGAAATTTATACAAAAAAACAACACAAGAATGATGTGATAATGTCATTTTTGTAAATAGCATATTGGTGTTTTATTTTAAAGTGACACATTGAGCCACATCATCTGTACAAAAATTCTGTTTGAATCGTATATCATCACTCCTTTTCATGTTATATGTGTGTTAGGCAAAACCTGGGATGTTAGCAAAAACAATTGTTTAATATTACTATACATATATTTTGCACATGTATAAAAATATACACATAGGCATGTGCACACAAAAATAGGTGTTGTGAACTCATTGACATTGTGAAATCTACCGATTTTGCACAATTGCTCAGGTTTTAGCCTTTAGGCATCCTAAGCCGAAGTAGGAATTCCAAATAAAATCTAATCCCTACACAAAACATGGTCTTCCCAAAATCTTCCTACCAGAAGATCCAATAAATCCAACTAGAACTAGTTAGATGAACTGAATGCAGAAAATAAAAAAAAATAAAAAAAAAAACAGATGGTAATTCACCTTATCTGGTGGCCTGATCCTTAAATTTTACAAGCAGAGTAGGACTTAGAAAATATGAGGAAGAAGAACTCCGAAAAATATGAGGAAGAAGGAATATATTTCTGTTATATTCAAAACTTCTTATCTTACAAGACCAAATGACACTCCTTATATAGGAGATATTACAAACATCATTATAACCCATTATATGCCACTTACATATTATATATTACCACTATCTACCACTAACATATTCTATACATGCCACTATCTACCACCAACACCACTATCACATATTCTATACATGCCACTATCTACCACCAACACCACTATCACATATTCTATACATGCCACTATCTACCACCAACACCACTATCATATTATATACATGCCACTATCGTATTATTAACACAAATTTCCAGCAGTAGGTATGAAGACCTAAGAATGGCAATGAGGGTTTAAAGCACATGTTAACATGGCATTATCAGAACAAATTGCCACAATTCTGTGGACATTATATTTTTTGATAGAACAAGTTAAACAGAAGGTTACCATAGAGAATCACCCAGAACACACAAAAAAAGAAAGGGGGGAGGGGGGGAGCGATAAAAAAAGAGAAAGAAATGAAGTTGATTACAATAAACAAGAGATAAAGCATTTTTAAGATGATACACCGAGGGGAGTCACCTCTACAAACTCTTAAAATTTCCTTGTGACTTATGACTAACAGATAGAAGGACAGGAAGATCCTAGGGCCCCGTTTGTTTTCAGAGGTAAAATTGAGGGGATTCATAATGAGGGGATTGTTAATGAAGGGATTGATAGTGAGGGGATTAAGTAAAATTGTGTTTGTTTTGATGATAGTTGTTAGTGTAGGAATTGTTAAATTATTTTTATATAAAATAATAAAATAAATAAAAAAATTAAACATTAATATTTAAAAAAAATTCCCAATATATAAAAAATAAAAAAAAATTCTAATCCCCTCACTATTTTTCTAATACCATCTCCACCTCCTCCATCTCAATCCCCCTTCCTACCTCCATCTATATCACCTCCTCCATCCTAATCCCCTCCCCAACCCTACAAACAAACACAACATTAAATAATCCCACCTCCATCTTAATCCCCTCCCATCTATTTAACCCAAAACAAACGGAGCCTAGGGGTATACTGAATACCACTATAGAACCAAAGGGAGTCACCTCATCAAAGAGTAATGAATACCAGTTATATAGTGCTATGAAATTGTTAGGAATATCCTACAGTACAAAGGATGACATTTGGAAAAGCATATTATAGAGATTTGGATAAACATCACATTCCACGTAGAGTGGCTTCATTTTCCAGTGGAGAATGATGCCAAATGAGGCATGTTAGAATAGTCGAGTGTTCATGTTATTTTACATTGGGTATTCTTGCCATATTGTCATATTATTGTTCTACTATGTTACACGGACTCGGGTACGGGTATCGGGTGCAGGTGCGTATCTAGGGATCAGACACTTCAAAATTAAAAATTAAGGATACGTGGATATGTATCCAAATTTGGATACGGGTACGGGGATACGTTATAAAAATATATTTATTATATGAAGATGAGTTATATTATATACATAACAAATAAAAATCTATGAAGCACGGACATGGAAACACATACGGACACAGACACAGACACAAACACAGGACACGACAATTTCTAAAAAATTGGGACACGAACACGGCAGGGGACACGACAAATTTTTTAATTTTTTATAAATTTTTTTATTTTAATATACATTTATTTATTTATTTATTATATTTTTTAAATAATATGTTCCAATTAATTTTTTTATTTTATTTTACATAAATGTGTTTATTTTTTTTATTAATATATATAAGTATATATTATCTTATAAATATATTATATGTTATATAATAATTATTATATAATATATAATAATAATAGTTATTACAATAATAGTTATTAATTATTATTATTATTATTATAGATACGAATAGATATGAATCAAGTCAAGAAGATAAAACGAGAGAGAGAGAGGGAGAGAAAAGCGAAGCGATCGATCGCGATTGCGAGGGAGAGAGAGAAGGCGAGAGAGAGAGAGGCTTTTTGAAGTCGTCTACAGTGTTCGACTGTTCGATCGACTGATGGAGCTTCGATCTTCGACTGGATCGACCGAATGGAGCTTCAACTGGAGGTCTTCGATCTTCGACTGGATCGACTAAATCGAGCTTCGACCAGGTTCTCTCTTGCTCTCTCCTCTTTTATTTCTTTTGCTGTCTGTAAAGAGCCGTGTTCGAGAGAGAACAGACAAATCTGACATAGATCCCACACCCGCACCCGTGTCGTGTCGACACGAGTACTTCACCCCAAAGTGCAGAGTCCATGTAACACAGTTGTTCTAACATAAATATGGGCCAATGTGGCGGGTTTTATACACACCAAAAACCTATTCGTTTAATTATGTTATCTTCTTCTTCTTTCTCCTCTCTTCCGTTCAAACCCAAACCCTAATTCCACATGCTTTAAACTTCAACTTGGTATCAAAGCAATTCCATCCTACCCAAGCAAGTGTCAGTAGACTCTGAAGATCAGATGACATCATAATCCATATGATGACATTGGTGCCGGTAGGGATGCCGTAGTAGGGGTAACACGCGATCCAATTCGTCTTGCCCGCCTGGTAATTATGGTGGTTTTTGTAGAAATTTTTAAGCTGTTTGGTGTGAGTTTATGACTTTTGAATGATTTTCAAAATTTCAGGAATCAAATTTTCAATCTGTGATTTGGAGCATTACTCAATGTTTCTCTTTGCCAAAATCTCTCCTATGGGTGCCAAATGGAGTGTAGGAGTCCTTGATTGAGGTTTGTTTGTTGGTTTATTGAGTTCATGATGGTTTTCTTCAAGTAACACTAGTTCGGCCTCCCTTTTTTGGCGCTCCTCTAGCCTTCATTTGTTGCCAGTGCAGTCCAGCCCTCTTTGGTTGTCCTTCACTCTTATTTGCCGGAGTACTCTTATTTGTTTGTTTGATTGGCCTGATATCTCTGTCTCATCGCTAAGGGAAAACCCCTATTACTTAGGGATGATGATTTGCCTAAATCAATTACTACAAGGAAACTAAATGTTCTGAATTATCTGACTTGGGCGCACACATTTTTACGCGGGAAAAGAAACTGCAATTTATTGCAAAGCATCCCCCGAGGACGATAACACCTATCATAATTCGGCGAGTGAGGATTCAATTGTGATGGGCTGGCACTAGCATAGTTTGGAAACCCATATTGCAACCTCTAACAAGATTTATGAGATCTATAAGCAGGTTTGGGACTCTTTCGTTGAGTCATTTTCACATAAAGTAATGTTTGTTTCTCAGGTGTATGAGTTGTAAGAGAGGATCTTTGCCACTAAGCAGTCTGGTCATCTGTTGTCTGAGTATTACAATACTCTTATAAATTTATGGAATCAATTATTGCAGCACCAACGTTTACTGCCGACTTAGCACAAGCAAAATTGGGAGGAGCTTATGATTGTGTCCAATATTGTTAAAAATGTATGATAGATAATATGTATTGTACGATATGCACCATATTGAAGGCATTTAGATAGAATCGTATATAGGTAACATTGGGTACCATGAATCGCAAGATACGATTTCATATCGCATTATTTCGCATTGAATCACAATTCGCTTTGTATGTCATGATTTTCAAGATCAAGCTGCAACCTGTGTTACATGGACTCGGCACTTTGGGACGAAGTACCCGTGTCGACACGACACGAGTGCGGGTGCGGGTGTGGGTGTGGGATCTGTGTCGGATTTGCCTGTTCTCTCTCGGACACGGCTCTTTACAGACAACAAAATAAATGAAAGAGGAGAGAGTAAGAAAGAACCTAGTCAAAGCTCCATCTAGTCGATCTAGTTGAAGCTCCATCTAGTCGAAGATCGAAGCTCCATCAATTGATCGAACAGTCGAACACCCCGGACGACTTCAAAAAACCTCTCTCTTTCTCTCTCTCGCCTTCTCTCTCTCCCTCGCGATCACGATCGATCGCTTCGCTTCTCTCTCTCTCTCTCTCTCTCTCCCTCCCTCTCGTTTTTTCTTCTTGACTTGATTCATATCTGTCTCTTGATTCATATCTATTTGTATCTATCTATATATAATAATAATAATAATAGTTAATAACTATTATTATTATATATTATATAATAATTATTAACATATAATATATTTATAAGATAATATATACTTATATATATTAATCAAAAATAAATAAACACATGTATGTAAAATAAAATTAAAAAAATTAATTGGAACACATTACTTAAAAAATATTATAAATAAATAAAATAATTAATGTATATTAAAATAAAAATATTTATAAAAAAAATTAAAAAATTTGTCGTGTCCCCTGCCGTGTTCGTGTCCCAATTTTTTAGAAATTGTCGTGTCCCGTGTCCGTATGTGTGTCCGTGTCCGTGTTCGTACTTCATAGATTTTTATTTGTTATTTATATAATATAACTCATCTTCATATAATAAATATATATTTTTAAAAAAAAAAAACTATTTAACGTATCTCCGTACCCGTATCCAAATTTGGATACATATCCACGTATCCTTAATTTTTAATTTTGAAGCGTCTGACCCTTAGATACGCACCTGCACCTTATACCCATACCCGAGTCCGTGTAACATAAGCTGCAACTACTTATTCCAGCAAAGACATTGTTAGAATTTCCCATCTTTACCTTCACCTACTCCACTACACACTCCACTTCACCTACCTCCACTTCACCACACACTCCACTTCACCTAACCCACTATCACCTCCACTACACCTACTACCACATTTTCTTCTATATATAGATTGTATAGGAATTGTAATTTATAAATCTTGTACAACATCAAGATATCAATCAATAATACATCTATTTGTTACAGACATCGTAACTCCTACACAACTACATTAAATTCTAAGTGCTAGAGAAGAACAAATGCAGCTCCATGATATAAGACTTAATGTACAGAATAACTTTAAAAGTCATAGCTGGAGCTACTGAGATGTATACCCACCTGGTCGTATATAGCATTAGCCTTGTCAAAACGCTTCCGAGCTTCCTGCATCAACAAAAAATCCATATAAAAAAAAGGTACATGCTTAGAAATGCAACAGTGGAGAAGAAACTGCACAAAATGGGTAAGAAAAAATGAATATTTAAACAAAACATACAATTGTTTTTCAAATAAGCAATAATGAAAACAAAATTTTTTTAAAAAAATGCTCTCAATATCATGTAATGAAAATTTGAAGTACATGACAAATGCTCCAATCGAAACTACTTTAATTAGCACAAGTAAACCCTTTTTATGAACAATGCACAAGCACATTCACTAGTTCAAATATGATTGCAACACAATGCTGCTTCTAACTCTATAAGCAGTGAACATACTATGACTTCAAGGACAAAAACGCTAGCACCAATACCTTTTAATGCAAATAAAAAATATAAAGGAATGATAAACAGTACCTTGACATCAGGCAAGTCAACATTGACAAATTGTAGTAACCTATCATTTAGCATGTGCTCTACCTGATAAAGAAATTTAAGAATGTTACAGAAGGAATTAAATAGAGGAATGACATAAATCTCCTAAACTAATGTATCACATCTAGGAAGTTTGTACCCAAAAAATAATTAAAAAAACCAGTCAAACTTACAAAGCAAGCAAAAACTTAACTACTATAAAAGAGTAACCAAAGCATATTGTTGAAGACAAATATAATTAATTCATCAAACATGTGTATCAAATTATGGACTAATAGGAGTCTATCAATGCATACAGAAAAAAATGAAGGTAGAATACTAGATAACACATAATTACCCAATAACTCATGACCATTGCATCAAGGTTATTAAAATCGGAAGCCTACGTGGGATTGTTGGAAGGGACTCGTGGATCAAATCATAGAATCGGGTCGAGAATCGTAAGATTCTATTTTCAATATAAAATAAAATGAAAAATTATCGATAATGATAATATATGATACGTAATTTTAAAAATATTGAAGAAAAATGATAAATTTGATATAATGCATCTTTTATGTTAACATCAATTAGAAGAGAAATTTGAAAAAAAGTGTTTATAGTCAAAATTTTTATATAGATATACACATATACATAAATATATATAAGAAATAAATAATAACAAAAAAAATTGTTAGAATCGGGCTCGTAGTAGAATCAGGATCGTATACGATTCTACACGATTTTATGAATAGGATCGTAGTAACTTTGATCCTACTAAATTTAAGATCCTAGTGTGATCCAAATCATTTAGCCAACTGAAATCGTAGAATCGTAAGATCCTACAATCTGGATTGGGATTCTGATAACTATGCATTGTATATCGTCAGTCAATAAAGAATACACACACAATGCAAGCATAATGAAGTTGTTGAATAACTTGATATACATTCTTGGGTCCATTTCCTAATAGCTTAACCTTTCGACACAATTTGTAACTTTACATGGTAGGGGAGGTCTTGGTTCAAGTCTCTTCATTTGTGTTTGCTCCCCATTTGCATTGTTTCTTCTATCGTTTGCATTGCTTTCTTCTCTCTATGTATGCATGGTTGCATCTCCACATGCAAAACGAGGTTGCAAAGGGGGGTGTTGATAGATTGATATATATTGTTGGGTCAGTTTCCTGATAGCTTAAGCTTATGAAACAAATTGATAACTTAACAGAAGCCATAAATTCTAAAATGTCCAACGGCAAATTTAAAATTGGAAAAAGGAAAAAAAAATATAGTTAGAATGGAAACAGCTGACCAAGTTCACGAATATAATGAACAAGCTGCTAAAATAAGTGACAATTGTGGGACTTGTAAAACCAAAGAACCATGTTTACGAGATCACGTAATTGGTAACCAATTTAGATAAGTTGGGTCCGCACGACTCAAATTCTTTTGCAATTACTACTTTTGGGACTTAGAGTCTTTAAGTGTTTCTTACACATTTTGAAACGTACAGGGCATTTTGGTCATTCAGGAATATAGAGGATACTTTAGAGATAGTCAGCTAAACCAGCCTACAAAAATAGGGAAGGACAAAAGTGGGGTGCCTTCAATCACACAAAAAACATCCACAAATATCCCACCAACACAAAAACCACCAACAGCCTATGGATTTCCAAAAAAGACTGTATTGTATGTAAGCCATTGCACATTTAACAGACAGCAAATCCTCAAAAAGAAACAATAGTTGAAGTCTCCATCTGATGATGGTACAAAATTCCTAGTCAGCCTTACATGCACCGGAATCAAAAATAGCTACTGGATCTTTTGCAGCATTTCCAGTGTCCTGACATTTTGTCATGCCTGTTTTGTTCTGGCAATATATGTTCACTAACAAGAGAAACAATAGAAGTTACTAGGTAAACTTGGAAATTGTCACATATAAAATTACTATCATCAACAAGGTCTGGGATATGAGATGCCCAGTGGACTAGAAACTAAAACAACCATTATGAACAATGAAATAGCATCAACATCACTTCAGCATTATCATTCGAGTAGCAATCTGAAAGAATATGGTTATAACCAAAAAGTAGAATTTTATATGATTTGGTAAGCAAAGCAAGAAAATTGTCACCTTTGATCGAAGAACTTCCTTGTAGGTTCCAATTTCTCTCAAAGCAATTGCGAATTTGGTCATGATAGGGCCTGAGAAAACAAAATAAATTTCTTCGCTAAGTATCAACAGGCACAAGAACATGTAGAGCTATTTACGATGTTGAGTGTTTCAAAAACTATGGCCATATCTAACAACCTTCCTAAACAGATAGCAGCACTTAAGTTTGGCAAAGGAAGTGACACACAAAAGGGGTTGTTTCATAAGGAGGCACAGCTCCAAGGCAGCCGGTTAAGAGTTTGTTCAAGCTCATTCACCTGCCTAAACATATTGAGCTCAAGCCTTAAGACTGCTCAAATGCATAAGAAGCCAAGCTTGAGCAGGATGAAGTTGGTTTAGATATAGTCAGTCGATAGGATGCAAACCATCATATTTATCTATGCTTACTAGTAAACAATTGCTTTAAATTATTCCTTTATAAGAATTTTCAACTCCAACGGAAGTTAGTACTTGCTCTTTGAAACCAATGAATGTTTAATAGACGAGAAGAAATATTCACTGCCAATCATATTGCTTGGAGTTAAAACCCTTGTCAATATGCTAACAAGAGGTTCTTAGACAAGCTTGATCCTTTTACCCAGGCAAGCTGATGCAAAGTATAAGAAGCTCAAGGAAGGCTAAATTCAAAGAAGCAATGATATTTGGACATCGGCATGATTTCATAGAGAAACTGAAGGGAATTTTATATATTTATGTTTCTAGTATTATTAGAGTATTATTTTATAATTATTTTTATGTTTTGTATGATTTTTAGGTCAAGGAGGGTATTTTAGTAATTTTCATTATTGTTGTCATCGGTTGTAGGGGTCACCCATGGGTCATCTTGTAGGTCAAATTATTTAATTGGATGTTATTTATGCTTCTTATTTAGTTTTAAATTGGTTTTAGAAGTCAAAGATATTTTAATAATTTCTTTTTTTGGTTATAGTTGGTTTAGAAAATCTCTTAGTTCTATGTAAAGCCATATAATGTTTATAATTGAATAAAGTTGATATTTTAGAGAATTTTTCAAAGCTTTTGAAGCTTCTTATGGATTGTGTGATGCAACCCTAACGCTAGGTGTGATGCCTATGGAATCTAAGTGTGATGCCTATACCTATCTTCTTCTCTTCTTTCTTCTTTTTTGTTTTAGTTTACTGTTCACAAGCCCCTAAGCAGTGCTAAAATCTCATATTTTCATGCTTAAACTCTTACCTATTTATTACCCTAAACAAACCCTACTTATCCTGTATATTCTTATTGCAATTGCAGCCATAAAATCTATTTAAAATCAGCCCCAAAAGCCTAGATTTGCTGCTGTCCCTAATTGTCCTGCATCACAAGCTCAAGCAAGGTGGGTGGACATTTGCTCAAAGCTCTATCCAAAATCACACATGCTTCAACATATCTGGCCAAGATTGAACAAAGCACCACTAGTCTTGGCTAGCTCTTCTTGTACCTCCCAACTTAAAGAACAACGCCAAAATCAAACAAATATTATCTTGAATATCATTCAAAGTTTCAATGAGACATAATAGATAAGCAACCAAACTAACCTATCCCCCAGTGTTTTCTTGTTTAGCAATACATCTGAGCTGAAATGGTAAGGCAATGCCTCAATGAATTTACAAACCATGATTTCACGTGCAGTATGGTCAATTAAGAAAGAGAGCCACTAAAATCATAACTAAGGGTAGGTCGTTAAATCCCCATTATGTCAAAGTTAATATGAAAAGTTTGCTCAATGGACAAAGCATTTACGACTCTTAGGTAATAAATTACAAACTGGCATAATATCACAAGCAATGATAACCATCTGCACCCTCCAACAGCAGGAGAAAAGAAAAGGCATAACGAATTGGAAAACTCAATTCTGAGGATGGAGATTCAAACACGTACCTCCAAAAGCAGCACAAATTGGATCACTATGCCCTCCAAAAGCTTCAAGAGCACATGCAAATGCAATCTCCCTGTCATATCCTTCTCCAAGCCCTTCCCTATGAGTTTGAAATGAAAAATGATATTTTAAACAACAGAAGGCCATTGAGAAAATTTAAAACAATTTCCCTAAGGCTAGAGATTCAAGTTAACTTTAAATCACTACTTTCACCTACTCTCGGAAGGGATATCATAAGCTTCAATAAGCAAAGAAGGGGAGTTAATTGCTACGAACCAAGAATTCTAATATTGTAATATCCAAATGTTTACAATTAATGTGTGGAGATTTTAGCTAATTTTGAGTATAAAAAATAATTGGGAAGAAGATAGGCCTCGTACAGTCTATCTTTCATCCCTTTGTATATTGACAAGATAACAAAAATTAGTTTACATGATTTGAAAAGAAATATACAAAAAGAGAAACACAAAGCATCCAACAAGAAATGTGTGACTCAACTACTCAAGGAAGAAGAGGCTTCCAGTAAGTACAGAAATCCAGAGATAACATCTCAAAATGCTCTTTATCAAAGAGCACAATCAATTGGCAAAAAAACCAAGTGAACACAAGAAACACCCAATAATAATCAGGAATACAGCACATGAGAGATTGGAACAGGGAAGTACTTGATTCACACATGTCAGGAATCAATATAACAGAGTATGTATCATATAAAATCCCCTACATAGGAGCTGGGACATGACCCACTGTGAGATCTTTCGTGATGATCACTAAACACACACTTCAAGACTTGCACATGTATGCGACTGTACACAAAGACATAAATTTACCCAGTACCAAAAGCAGAGAGAGAGAGAGAGAGATAAACAAAGAAAAAGGATCATGAGTAACACCAAGTACACTTAGAAAATATGAGGAAGAAGAATTCCGAAAATATGAGGAAGAAGGAATATATTTCTATTATATTCAAAACTTCTTATCTTACAAGACCAAATGACACTCCTTATATAGGAGATATTACAAACATCATTATAACCCATTATATGCCACTTACATATTATATATTACCACTATCTACCACTATCATATTATATACATGCCACTATCTACCACCAACACCACTATCATATTCTATACATGCCACTATCCTTCACCAACACCACTATCATATTATATACATTAACACAAATTTCCAGCAAGTACCTATTGGAAGATTTAACTAACTCAATTTACAAGGCAATTATCTTTCTCCATCTGCCTCAAATAGTCTAGTATGTAAGCCATATATCATTGCAACTAAACAGTCATGTAAACGATCTTTTTTCTGATTTAATTGCATATAAATCAGGAAAGTCTAATTGTTTTGTTCATCACCAAATTACTCAACATGCCAAAACCCAGTACTCTCATCACAATCCAATGAATTTTTTGCTTTCAACAACCAAAAAGAACTTACAAATAATTCTCCAAAGGAAAAATCCACATGCATTATCAGCTTCAGTTTATACCCAACAGGACTGATATTATCTGTCTTTTTCCAGGGTAAGTACTGATATTGTCTGTCTGTTACGGGTGCCAATCTAGTTGTAACATCCTTGGTGTTATTGTATGAAATATGCATGCTTCTATTTCATGTTTAAACACTTCAAGCAAAATTAGTTCCCTTGATATGAGAAATGCTCTGAAGAATGATTTGATGAATTTGTAAAACATGATTTAGAAACATTATTTCTTAAATGGAAAACACCTATATGCTTTGAGAAGAAATTATTATAGTTTTAAAGTGTTGCATGTGTGCTTCTTTGATATGAAATGAATTTAGCGTTTAGAGTTATAAGATTGAGAAATTCACGTTCATATGTGTTCTTAGATCATCAATGCTTGATTGCATTGGTCTAATATGCTAGATAACTTCATACGTTTTGTGAAAAACTTGAGTGTAGTAGTAATTAAGCCTAAATATAATTACAGAAATCTTTGGTAGCTCACATGACCCGAATTTGTGTTTATCGGTCGACTTCCCAGACGACTAGATGAAACACTTGTCAACCGCTGTTGTTAGCCTTTTCGCCAGACAACCGGTCGGATGACTGACCGAACGACCGGCAAGATGAAATTCGAGCCATTCGGGGCAAGCTCAAATTCGAGCTATGCAGCATTGCTCTTATAATTAATTAACTTAAGTACGATTAGAAAATTAACATAGCTTACTTAGTGTGAATCATGATTAATTAACTTAATTACGTGATTAGTTGATATCAAGTAGGCACACACCTCATTTTGGAGTGCCAATAGATATATATATATATATATACATGTATTTTACAAAATAAATCAAAGAAAAACAAGAGAAGCGAGAGAAAATTTTCTTGAGAAAGAAAGAAGGGACGAGAAGACAGAAAGGGAGAAAAACTCAATTTCTTGACCTAGAATTGTTTTTAACTTGATTCAAGGTAATATTCATGCACTTACATCACTTTATGATTCTTTAATTTGTAAAATTTGCATGTAAAGAAAATTGAAGAAAACAAGTTTGAAGGATTGCTTTCATTGAAATTCAAGCTTTTGATTTGGAAAAGTCCTATGATTTGCACAAAAATAGAAATTCATGATTTTTCCTTTACCTTCTAAGGCCATGGAATGTTAAATTTCATGTTTTTGACCGTTGACTCCTTTTTTTCGAGTTCCAAGCTATATTAAGTCCAAAAATCATTAGTAGGATTCCACTCGAGCGGCCTTGAGTCCTACTTAAGTGGCCCAAACCAGAGGACATCTGAGGCATTTCTGTGGGCATCCGCTACAGCAGCGCTGACACCTGCTTGAGCAGAACCAGCCAACTATGTGATTTTCTCATATTGATGTGTTTTAACCTAATGGAACTATTCCTACCCTTTGGAACTTGTTTTAAAGCAGAAGGGCGGCACACACTCCGTGTGTGCATTATATTACATCTTTTATGATGACGAAGCACTGAATAAGTACAGAAATCTGAAAACTGCACCAGAGTTTTGTTAAAGTAAAATAAGTGTGAGTTAGTTTTATATTTGTTGTGGAGACATGGAGAGTGAGTTTTCCAATGCAAATTTGAGTTTCAAAATGTTTACCAACATTTTTTTTTTCTTAGGATAAAAATTTAAGTTTAGTTCTCCCCAGACTTTCAGACCTTGCAAATGATGATTCTTAAGTATAGATGTGGAGTTTTATAATTGCAACGGGCATTACTATAAATTTACTGCATAAGCATAGCAAGGTGAGCCCAGGCTCCCATAATTTGAACCTTGTGGGGCTTCCAATTTCCATCCCTCTTCTCAAACCTACTCCAACCATAATTAATGGTTTCGTAAAGTTAATTGATCGAACATGAAGAGTGAATAGAAGAAGAAATTAATTGATCGAACCGTTCTCTTCAAAAGTACGCCCAAAGTTAAGTTCATAGTATCAACAAAAATGCAGGAAGGATAAAAATGTAGACTTACGTGTACTTTCGGCATCCTTTATAAAATTTTGAAGTTCTCTCCCTCAATACTTCAGCACTTTCTTCCAAACCTTGGATCTATTTCACCAAATAATACAACATTAAACCATTACATCTTCAACAAGACTTAAAAGATGCATGCAAAAACACGCCATTATATTCAACATGAGAGTGATCTTAAAAAAAAGAAAGAAAAAGAAACAACAACAACAATCTAAAATAGCATTCCAAAGGAGTGAAAAGAAAAATATAACAAATATATATTTTCAGACAATCAAACAGAAGTGCACAGCATATAAGTCTTTGCTAGGAAAAAGCATTTGGAGGATAATAATCAACAAGGTAAAAGCACACAAACTTTAAATGGTAGCAATGTCAAGGCTGAGGTGGCATGTAGAGTAATGTTGAATGTGTAGTTGCATCGTAACCAAACCATAGTTTTTTGTCCCAATCAGTAGGGATCAGTTACATAATTAATTTTTCGAATCTTTTTTTTCATAATTCCACTTGTCAAAGGCTAAATTCAAACTAACTTTTCCCACAACATCCCATGTCAATGTAAGTCTTTTCTTCTCCTTGCATTTCGATTTCTAGTGATCATATCATTCTTTCTTAGCGTTGCATCTGCCGGACTTCAATGCACATGACTAAGCAATCTAATATGTTTGCTTTTAACTTATCTTCATTGTACCCTCATTTTATCAATGTGTTATTTTTCAGTTGCCCAACATTCAAAACAAATAGCTAATTATCAAAGGGTTTCTTCGAAATCACCCATTATTGTAACATTTCCGATGGGTGAATTATGGTGTTATGAATATAAATCCTAAAGTACCATGCTAATATACCGTGGTTACAGCCCTAAATGTCAAAATATTTATAATCTCAATAAACTCTTCACGTACGTTCCAAAATCAGTGGCGTAGCCAGGAATTCCTCTTAGTGGGGTCATTCAGAGGGAGAGAGAGGGGGAGAGAAAGAACAAATGAAGGAATGCATCAATGGCAATGCACCAATGGTTGTTAGAGAATGAAGCATTGATGGAGCAAATGAATGAACGAAAACTGAGCTAAAATTGACACCACTAAACAATGAATAGCTCCAAATATATGTGATATTTATCTAGATTCACTGGGGTCATTTTGTTAAAATTGACACCACGAAACAATGAATAGCTCCAAACACTGGGTCATTTTGTTAAAATCAAAAACTATTAAACAAAATTTCATTTATATTTAAACAAAACTTGAAAGTTCAGTGGTGTCAACTGACACCACTGAATTACACACAGCCCCGCCCCTGGTTCCAATGCACTTTTATACGAATTTTTCCGCACTTTTACAGCACTAACAACCGCCCTAATGTTGATTTTAGCATTCACAAAGATTCATTGCATATCATCCACCATTGATTGGAAACATTTTCAGAAGCAATTGTAATGGAAAAACGTACCTGTTGGCGGAACATAGGCGAATCATCGAGTTTTGCAAATTGAAACTTGTTTTCTTGTTGCCGAAATATCGGCGAAGCGTCGAAACTCTCGAAATGCATCTTCGCTTGCTGTATCCGATCCCAATCAACATCAAAAAAAGGAAATCAAATCGACAAAGCAATATATGTGGCCGTTTATCCAACTGTAATCTTATCTGTATCCTGTAAAAACCATCAATGAATTGACTAATGCGACAAAAAATGAGTTTGGATGAAAAGGAAACCCTAGAGAATTCGCATTTGCTGTGAATTTGGGTTGAGGGTGATGGATTTGGATGGTATTGCAGAAAGAAAGGAAACTGAGGCGGAAACAGGGAATGGCAGAGAGGGAATTGGGACTTTTTTTGGGAATGACTGAGAAAATGAGCGAAAATGGAGGAGATGTGGAGGGAGACAATAGGCATGCTTGTTGAAGCTGAATATAGGACCTCTTGCGAATTTTCATGGCTCTCTCTCTCTCCTCTCTCTATCTACGTCACTTATCTCACTTCCGCGCCCGACAGAGAAACCTTGTCATGCCAACATGAAATGTTCAGACAGCCCACGTCCCAATTTTTATTTACAGACCTAAATAAGGGTTCATGCTGGTTGATTATTTGATTTTTAATTATTTTAATTTGAAATTAAATAGTTTTGTTTGAAATAAGTTTTTTTTTTTTATTTTTTTATCATTTATGAAAGAAAAAATGAAATAATTATAAATTAGATGTAATATTTTGTCCTATTAGTCTAAAATAGCTTATTCTATCATATATAGCCATTTTAGTCCAAATACTCCGAGCTTGAGGATGCTGCTGCACGGGGTGTACAGCAACATCTACTGTGTGCAGAAATGGGCCCATTTCGGGGCGCATTTTGATAATCCAAACCGTTCACATTTTAGAATACATCAAGTAAAATATGCCTACAAAAAATCAAATTAATTGGATATTGTTTACCTATTCATCCACTCACATTTGTATTCATTTTAATACTTTAAATCACAATTATTATTTATTTTGTAGATAGAAATGTGAGTGGATGAATGGATAAACGATACCCGATTAACTTGATTTTTTGCAGGCATATTTTACTTGATGTATTTTAAAATATAAACGGTTCAAATTATCAAAATAGACCCATTTCCGCCACACAACAGATACTACTATGCACCCCGCACAGTAGCGTCCCCAAATCCAAATACTCATCCCAAACGGAATCTAAGTCGATTGAAACCGTACATTTAAGCAAGCATTCATCCAACCTCTCAAAACTCCGAGTCAATCCGTTACTGATTGAACGATTTTGATATATATATATATATATATGTATTTCTTTTAATATATCTAAATTCGAATAGATAATTGATAAAAGGTTACTAGACCTAAACAAGGGCATGCTTAGAATTTTTATATAAAAGGTGAAAATTTTTAAAAAGAAAGCATGAATTATAATTAATTTTTACTAGTATAAAAAGCGAAAATAAAACAAATATATATATAAATAATATGTTTTTTTAATCAACATTTAGTCACAAAATATTCTATCTATTATAAAACATTCTATTTACTAAAATGAGACATTTTGAGTTGTTTGCTTTACACTATTTCATATTATTAAAAATGTCTATGATAGAATCGCCATTAAAATATTGTTTAATGTCTGTTTCAATAAATGCAATCAAATAACTAGCTGATACATTATTTTATTCTTTATAGACTGGACTATAACACTAATTATAAGAAAAAAATTTCTTTTATTATATTGTGTCTATTTCTTTTAAATTTTATATTTTATTCCCATGTTTCATAAATATGGAGTGGCAATCACTTAAAACTTTTTTAAGAATCTAAACAGCATGACATTTGTAAAATAATAACGTAAAGGGAGCGAGCCTTTATAATTTGTAGATAATTGTAATCAATATTACTATAGTAAATAGTATTTTTTAAATCATAGGGGGCGATCGTTCCTCTTGCCACCTCTAGTGTATCATTGCCTAACTTAATTCACAAGCACCCATTGTTTGGTAGAGATGTGATGATAAATTTTACTAAAAAAATTGAATGATAATGCATTGATAATTATGTCTTTTTATATATTTTAAAACATGATTTTAGAAAATGATGTTATGCTTTATGTTTTGGCCTTCTTTGGTACAGATTATTGTAAGTTAAAAACTGATAATTAAAAAACAGAAGTTAAAAACACTTCTCCACTAACTTCTAGATAATTAACTTATTTAAATTATTTCTAGTAGGAGTGGGGAAGCATCCATCCGATCTGCCAAAACCAAATGGCCTAAATCAATCTGCTACAAAATGGATAGTTTCAAGGTCTGAGTGGACAGATGCATATGTATTTTTTTCAATCCGTCTAAATTTAGACGAATAGTGGATTGAATGCCACCCAATCCAACCAGATCCGCCAACACTCCTAATAAAATAAAGTTATGTTTTTATGCTTAGTGTGTTAAAAAAAGAACCTTTCATTTAGTAATTATACTAGCATATCACCCGCGGGATTATTGGTAAATTTATTTTTAAATTAATTAAAATTAATTTTAAAACATAAATAAATAAATAATATTAAGCCTCCGTTTGGGAAGTGGGTTGGCTTTTTGGCTTTTTTGGCTATTTTAGCCTGGGCTAAAAAGCTTGGTTTGGGAAGGGCTTTTTGGCTTTTTGGCTTTTTGACTTTTTTTTGTGAGAGAAGAGTGTAATGATTATGGGTTGGATGTGATGTTTTGTTTGTTGTGGCTAAAATAGCCTGTTTTGTCTTTTGTGGCTATTTTAGCCCCAACCCACTTGCCAAACACCACCTAAGTATGTTTTAATTTCTCTTCTTTCTTTTTCTTCTTTTTTTTTTTTGTATAAAAAGAGTGTTTGAAATTAACTTTTTAAGTGACTTTTGAATTTTTTTTAAGAGATAATAAAAAGTTAATGTATTTAGGAATGAGTTTTTTAATTGTATGAAAAAATGCAAATATTTTTGTGTGTTACTTAAATTTTCCATTTTACCCTTCCAAAGGTGTAAATTCCTATGCAGTCACTCAAAAGAATTGTTTGGTCTTTTCAAATTGGTACAAAGATTTTTGAACTTTTTTTTCTTGGTACATGCCAAACACATTTTAGCACTCTTTAATTTTTTGACTTTTTAATCAAAAAGATAATATTCCAAACATGGCATGAGTTACACAATTTTTATTTTATTTTATTTTTTGTTGCTATTAATGTTTTGTCCTAAGTATTATATAACAAATATATATATAATAATTCAATTGGTAAAATTAAAACAAATTAATTTTCTAAAATTACAAAAGTTGTACTTTGCATTAAGCATATTTACATTGTCAATAAAATTCGTAATTATAATTCTTCATATCACAGTTTGTCAAGTGATATAACGATCTTTTTTTTTTTTTTTTTGGTCTCCTTTTTTTTTGGTCTCCCATCCTCTCTCTCACTCATCTTCTATCTCTCTTTATTTTTAAAACGATGTGGTAAAAAAATTGAAATAAAATATTTAAATTTTTATGTTTATTTCAGTAAGTACATTAGGAAAAATATTATCGTATTAGTAAATTTTGGTTTGTCAATTGATAAAGTATGATAAATTTATATTGATCGTAAAATGTAAAGGTATTTTTAAATTTTTTAAAATTTTATGAGATGATCGAGCTGCTTAAGCCATGTCAAATTTATGTCAATCAACACAAATTGAATAGTCAGTTGACCAATTTGTTTATATAAATATTTTTTAAACTGGTAAACATACATCATTAGTAATTTTTTTTCATAATAAAATGTACATATTTATTCATATTTAATAGATTTCAAAAAATAGATTATATGTAATAGTTTTTTTTTTTAAATAGTATTGTAATTATGGCGTAACTTCACTTTAATCTATACAACTGTAGATATTTTTATAATATTTTTAAACAAAATTAAACAGATATTTGTTTATGTAAATATTTTTTGAATTGATATTTTTAAACAAAATCAACTGCTAATAAAAATATTAAAGTGAAGTTATAAAAATATTAAAAAAAATTATAAAGTACTTTTGAGCTAATGCTCTACACCAAATGTCAATTAAGACATAACATGATGTCACAAAATATTAAAAGTAAATAATAATAAAAAATGGAGTAGTGTTATACAAACTTTAAATCAATACAAAAAAATTTATCAATAATGATTTGGTTGGATTTTGTTCTATGACTGTACAATAAAGAGTCCATTGACATATTTTTTATTATACAAATGATACTATCACATCATTTTAGGATAAAAATTTACATAAAAATTATAGTAAAATAATATTTTACAACAAAAAAATGGTTATAAGCAAAAAAACAAATAATGGTCAGTAGAGAGTACATGAACAAATTACCCACCCAAAAAAAGAGTGCAGGAACAAATGATACATAAAATATGAAATGCAAAAACAAAAAATTGTCAAACGTAAAAATAAATAAATAAATAAATAAAAAATGTGAACTTAAAGGATGAAAGAGTATGAAAGAGTGTGTTTAAAAAATGCAAAAGACTAAATATTAACTTATAGCGATCCCGGTTTTCCCGTCATTTATTTTGTTCCGAACTTGGGTTCCGTCATGGTTGTTATTGTCTTTATCTTGTTTCCGTCTTTTAAATCCTTTGTATTTGAGTTTTGGGATGTGTTGGGCGAGTTTGGAATAGGTTGGTTGGGTGTTGGAATAAATGGTTGCTATCTAGAATTTGGAATCTTCGCTCAAGCGAGGCTTTCTTCGCTCGAGCGAGCCTTGGGTTTTAGTTTCTTCACTCGAGCTAGGGTTCCTACGCTCGAGCGAGCTTTGTGTGATGTGTCTCTTCGCTCAAGCGAGCACTCTTGCGCTCGAACGTGCGTCTGCGTCTAGTTTGGACCTGAAGGTTGGCATTCTTCGCTCGAGCGAGGCTTTTGTCGCTCGAGTGAGCGAGCGAGCGAGCTCTATGTTTTGTGTTTCTTCGCTCAAGCGTAAACTCTTGCGCTCGAGCGTGCTTCTGGGTTGCAGACCTGAAGCTTCGTATTGTTCGCTCGAGCGACGCTTCTTGCGCTCGAGCGAGGTTATTTTGTGTCTGGTCGCTCGAGCGAAGAGCGACCACTTCTTCACTCGAGCGAGGTTCGAATTTATCAGTTGGCAGCAGCGTGTTATACATCACTTTCTCATCATCTCTTTCATCCAAACCCTAGATCCGACTCTCCCTCTCTCTAAGCACACCCTCTATCTACAAATACTCCATGTTCTATGAGTCTTCTACCCTAATCCCTTTGTAAGAAAGTTAGAGCTTGGCTTGGGCTTCCCATTGATCCGAAAAAGTGTTGATTTGGAGCACTTTCAAGTTTCTTCATCTTCTCCTTTGAGCTCCCAACTTCGAGGTAGGGATAATCTACTCATTTTTATGAGTTTTAACATAAATGTTGGGCATTTGTATAAATGTAGGGATTTTGGAAGTTTGGGGAAGTTAGGGTTTGATTTGGGATTATAAAAGAGGGGTTTCTTGGTTTTGGACTCTATTGTGAATGTGAGGTTTTGAA